GCCCTCGCACTACGACATTCTGAGTGATCAAGCTTAACGTGGTGCATGCTGCTGCACTTGTTCATGTTGCAGAAGGCACCAAAAAGATCGAAAGGGCAGGAGCTTCGGCCATGGCGCCTGTGTGTTTGCACATCCTAAGGTTGAGCCACGTGTCCGGGACCACAACAGTGCACGTGCCTGACTCGGCTTCACATCTCTCCGGCACTTCGTGCGACCTATGCCAAACGCAGGCAAAAGCGTAGCAAAAGGCAAGCAACACGAAGGGGTAAGGTACTGTTGTTGTCAAGCTTCGCTGCCTGGTGTAGGTCTCGGATTGTATTGTCGAAGGGTTCCAGTGCTGAGGCTTTCAAGGCAAATGCTCTCTAAGCGGGAAGCTTGTTGCGGGGAACAACCCTAAACCCTAAACCCTAAAAAAAACAGACATGCCCTGTAGGACAGCACTTGGAGGTGGATGTGAACGTGCTGGTAGAAGTCGACGTTTTGAATAACATCTGGGGGCTTCCGAAAATAGGGGTACCCTGTTTGGGGGTCCCTTTAAGGGGATTCGATTCTAGTTAGGGTTAAGGGGATTCAATTCTAGTTAGGGTATAAGAAGAGATATGGACACCCCTAGAATACGGCAAGGAGGTCTAGGTGTTTGGTTGTCTGGGGCAAGGTCAGCACGAACTTGACTACAGAATCACCAGCCTAGGTTGAAGTTGCGCAGCATAACTCAACGCATCGAAACCTCAGTGGCACCGACCACAGGATAGTTGACACGACTACAAGCTGTCCTTTTGCTGAGGTGGCCGTGCGGTTCTCCGCAGCACCAGGTCTGCAAGGGCTTGGAGTTTTGGACTACCATGTCACAGGGCACCTAACTCCTGAACGAAATCATCCTGAGCAAAGATTTAACTGCATGGCAACAGGCAGTGAAACCCCACATAGTCCCGTCGATTCTTCCAACCTTCCAACCTGACCTGAAGGGCCCGAAAGATCTAAGGCCTCGCGTCACCGACCATCTTCAGACTCTTAGACACCAAACGCAAACAGCGCAACACCTTCGCAAATGCCTTCAAGTCATGAGTGTCAGTTGATTGTGTCCTTCGAGAATCGGACACCCACAGCGAGCATCACGAGCATCAGCTGCCAGTGTTTTTCAGGAGGCAGGCGCGACTGTCCTTAAGGAGTCGGGCCCCCAAACCGAGCATCATGAGCATCAGCTGCGACTTCCTTCAGGAGTCGGGCCCCCCAAAAGCGAACATCATGTCCTTGAGGAGGCGGGCGCCCCAAACCAAGAGAGCATCAGAAGCATTCAGTTGCTTGTGTCCTGCAAGAATCGGACACCCACAGCAAGCATCCCGAGCATCAGCTGCCAGTGTTTTTCAGGAGGCAGGCCCCCAAAGGGAGCATCACGAGCATCAGCCGCGACTGTCCTTAAGGAGTCGGGCCCCCAAACCGAGCATCATGAGCATCAGCTGCGACTTCCTTCAGGAGTCGGGCCCCCCCAAAAGCGAACATCTTGTCCTCCTCACATCAGTTGCTTGTGTCCTTCAAGAGTCGGACACCCACAGCAAGCATCACGAGCATCAGCTGCCAGTGTTTTTCAGGAGGCAGGCCGCCAAAGGGAGCATCACGAGCATCAGCCGCGATTGTCCTTAAGGAGTCGGGCCCCCAAACCGAGCATCATGAGCATCAGCTGCGACTTCCTTCAAGAGTCAAACCCCCCCAACAGGGAACATCATGTCCTTGAGGAGGCGGGCGCCCCAAACCAAGAGAGCATCATAAGCATCAGTTGCCTGTGTCCTTCAAGAATCGGACACCCACAGCAAGCATCACGAGCATCAGCTGCCAGTGTTTTTCCGGAGGCAGGCCCCCAAAGGGAGCATCACGAGCATCAGCCACGACTGTCCTTAAGGAGTCGGGCCCCCAAACCGAGCATCATGAGCATCAGCTGCGACTTCCTTCAGGAGTCGGGCCCCCCCAAAAGCGAACATCTTGTCCTTAAGGAGGCGGGCGCCCCAAACCAAGAGAGCATCAGAAGCATTGTGTCCTTCAAGAGTCGGACACCCACAGCAAGCATCACGAGCATCAGACGCGACTGTCCTAAGGAGTCGGGCCCCCAAAGGGAGCATCACGAGCATCAGCTGCGACTTTATTGAGGAGTCGGCCCCCCCAAAAGCGAACATCATGTCCTTGAGGAGGCGGGCGCCCCAAACCAAGAGAGCATTATAAGCATCAGTTGCTTGTGTCCTTCAAGAGTCGGACACCCACAGCAAGCATCACGAGCATCAGCTGCCAGTGTTTTTCAGGAGGCAGGCCCCCAAAGGGAGCATCACGAGCATCAGCCGCGACTGTCCTTAAGGAGTCGGGCCCCCAAACCGAGCATCATGAGCATCAGCTGCGACTTCCTTCAGGAGTCGGGCCCCCCCAAAAGCGAACATCTTGTCCTCCTCACATCAGTTGCTTGTGTCCTTCAAGAGTCGGACACCCACAGCAAGCATCACGAGCATCAGCTGCCAGTGTTTTTCAGGAGGCAGGCCCCCAAAGGGAGCATCACGAGCATCAGCCGCGACTGTCCTTAAGGAGTCGGGCCCCCAAACCGAGCATCATGAGCATCAGCTGCGACTTCCTTCAGGAGTCGCGCCCCCAAAAGCGAATATCATGAGCATCAGCTGTGATTGTCCTTGAGAAGGCGGCGTCACGAAGCAAGAGAGCATCATGAGCATCAGTTGCTAGTGCCCTTCAAGGGTCGGACACCCACGAGCATCACGAGCATCAGCTGCCAGTGTTGTTCAGGAGGCAGGCCCCCAAAGGGAGCATCACGAGCATCAGCCGCGACTGTCCTTAAGGAGTCGGGCCCCCAAACCGAGCATCATGAGCATCAGCTGAGTCGGGCCCCCCCAAAAACGAACATCTTGTCCTCCTCACATCAGTTGCTTGTGTCCTTCAAGAGTCGGACACCCACAGCAAGCATCACGAGCATCAGCTGCCAGTGTTTTTCAGGAGGCAGGCCCCCAAAGGGAGCATCACGAGCATCAGCCGCGACTGTCCTTCAGGAGTCGGGCCCCCAAACCGAGCATCATGAGCATCAGCTGCGACTTCCTTCAGGAGTCGCGCCCCCAAAAGCGAATATCATGAGCATCAGCTGTGATTGTCCTTGAGAAGGCGGCGTCACGAAGCAAGAGAGCATCATGAGCATCAGTTGCTAGTGCCCTTCAAGGGTCGGACACCCACGAGCATCACGAGCATCAGCTGCCAGTGCTTTTCCGGAGGTAGCCCCTTGAAAGGGAGCATCAGCCGCGACTGCCCAAGGCGAGCACAATGTTCCTTGGGGCCTCCATAATCAACCATGAAGCCCTGAACCTGGTATGTAGGGGTTTGCTTGAGCTTGTGCGTTGCGGGGCTTTTTTATTGCCTCCGGATCTTGACATCTTGGGAGAACCGGTATGTGCCACGTTTGGCAAAAGGAGGGCAGAACCGAAGCGCGTGCTATGTCTTTCCCGCATAGGCGCCCGACGGCTGTGGGGTGTTCGCCGGGGTATCGAACCTGCTACAGTGCTACAGTATAATATGCGGGTTTTCCAGTACAGGCACTCACTCGGGCCTCGCCCAGACCTAAGCGCCATGGAAGAAGGTTTCCAGCCCATGTATCGAACAGGCTCTTGAATGTGGAGCGAACAACAAACTCAAGCAGCAGCCGGGCCGAATGCCGAAAACGCCGATGCCCTCTCCCACAATCCAAATCATGCAATTCATTGCAAGCTGCGTCCCCTACTCAATGTCGAATCATGTCTCCCAAGCCCCCCACAGAAATATTGTAGATGACAGCATGTTCCATTGCAGTGCCCTGCCGCAGATGCCGAGCGGGCGAAGAGGGCCTCAGACAAGTACTGGTGCGATCCTTACAGCTGAATCGATAGGCTCAGGAGCATATTCTTGGTAGCCCAGTGGTACCCTTTACTCTTTACCCTTTACCCTTTTTTTGGTTCTGGGTTCCCTTATAAAATAACCAACCCAAAAAGGGGTGCCCTTGTTATCATCTGGTTACTGGGCTACCAAGTATTGCAAAAGGACATGAAGCGACCACTCTGCTCGTACGCTAACAGGTTTGATAAACGTTTCCTTGCCAACCAGGGCAACAGTCCAAGCACTTCAATTTGTTTCATTTGCGCATGTGGTATCTCTTTTCAGGGTCGAACTACCTCGTTGTTGCTCAGGGCTTTGGGCCAATCCATGCTCAAACGTTACTCCGTTGCCATCCGTCTGTGGCTCAGACCCAAAGAGCCAAAGCCTTCGATGTCCAAAATGACTGCATGCATCGGCAGGTATCCGGTGAAGTGTTGCACCAGATCATCAGCTGGGCAAGAGCTCTCCCTGGCATCCCAACTGCACTCACGAGGCACTGCGAGTCATCCCTGTCATTCCCTATCTTTGATTCTGAGCCCCTTTCTGTTTGGTGAGGTTCTTGACGAGGGCCCGTGCTGCTAGATGTCCTACATATGTCACCATTGCGGTACGCAGTGACCCCCTCTAAGTGAAGGGTCCACAGAATGTCTTTGGGTTCTGTCTTCCATGAAGCGCTGAATCCCAGTCGGGAGCCTTCTCGTCAAAGATGGCTTTTCTTGCCATAGCTTCAATATGTGGGTTCAGCGGTAGGAGGCGAAGCTTGTCCTGCCAAGTTTCTCAGCTGAGCTGAGGCAGAAATCGAAGAGGCCCCTAGGGTTTCTTGCTGCGTTCCGAAGGTCGAATGTTGTAGACATCTCAGGCGGCCTGCTCATGAAGGCTGAAGGTCATCAGCTCAGGGACTTGCCACGGCAGTGCCTGTGTCACCTTCATTTCCAAACCTAGGTTCTGCGCAGCTCTTCTCCTAGCATTGCGCGCCTAGCGTAGGTCCCGGGATCTGGATAAGATATCGAGACAAGCAGCAAGACCGTGACCAGCAAAGACAGCTGAAGCCAGTGGAGCCTTCCTTCGACACGTAAAGACAAGTAGGCGCGTGCAAGCTGACAACTTACGCCATGAAAAGCCCGGAGCCAGCTGGGCTAGAAAGGTAATTAGGCCATAAAAAGGGTATAAGGGGTACAAAAGGGATATAAGGGCGGTGTAAAAGGGGGGACATAAGGGGGGGTATAAGGGGGGTATCTAAGAGGGGGTAACCCTAAACCCTAAACCCTAAACCCCAAGCCCTAAACCCTAAACCCTAAACCCTAAACCCTAAACCCTAAACCCTAAACCCTAAACCCTAAACCCCCCCAAAACTCCCTTGCAGCAGGCTGTGGCCTCGCAGCTCGGGGAAGCCTCTCGCTGGGCGCACGCACCCCGCAGCGTGCTGGAGAGGCATCTGGGCGTAAGTGGTTAGGGTCTAGGGGGGTAGGGTTTAGGGTTTTAGGGTTTAGGGTTTAGGGTTAGGGTTTAGGGTGATCGGGTTTAGGGTATTTCCCAAAATAGGGGGTACCCCTTTCATATCCCAGATAGACGTAGAATTGAATCCCCTTGACTCGACCCCCCACACTGGGTACCCTCATTTTCGGAATCCCCATATGGTTTAGCTATGAGAGAAGGTCATGAAAGTTGAAAGGTTTGAGAGTTTAAGTTAAGTTACGGGCGTTGAGAGTGCCTGGTGCGGTATCAAGCAGCGCTTGCCAACAGTACCTATCTTCCATTTTTCCTCATCTGCTTCACAGCGGCATGTAGAAGCACCAAGTATTGTGTTGCAGATGCACGCGTGAATGCGTTGTGACTGCCCCCTACTATTGGAGCGATGTGGAAGACAGCAGTCAGCTATAAGTCATTTTGAGAGTTTGCTTTGCTGACTTTCTGTCTCTTCCTGAACCGCGTGACAGACAGTCAGACACTTACATGTTCGAGTCCTCGCACGTGAGTTTCCACTTTGCTGCTTCCGTCCAAATTGCACGTTCCCCTGTCGGATTGACCCCTACCCTGTTTGACGCATGTTTTCATGGTGAAATCACTGCAAGACTGCGTGACATGAGTGGTTCCTGCACACCTGATGGCAAACATCACCCTTGCCGACTCGGACACAAGCCGCTGATGCTCATGATGCTCTCTTTGCTTTGGGGCAGCCCGCCTCCTCAAGGACAGTCACAGCTGATGCTCATGATGTTTGTTTTCGGGGGCCCGACTCCTGAAGGAAGTCGCCGCTGATGCTGATGATGCCTGGGCACCCGACTCCTCAAGGACAGGCGCGGCTGATGCTCACAATGCTTTCTTTGGGGGCCTGCCTCCCGAAAGACCCTGGCAGCTGATGCTCGTGATGCTCGCTTTGGGTGTCGCTCATGATGCTCTCTTCTGGGGCCCGCCTCCTAAGGACAGTCACAGCTCATGCTCGTGATGTTCGCCCGACTCCTGAAGGAAGTCGCAGCTGATGCTCATGATGCTCCCTAAGACACTGGCAGCTGATGCTCATGATGCTCGCTTTGGGTGTGCGATTCAAGCGACTGATGCTCATAATGCTCTCTTAGCCGTAGGGCCCGCCTCCTTCGGGACAGTCACAGCTGATGCTCATGATGTTAGCTTTGGGGGGCCGATTTCCGACTGCAGTGGCCAAAGCAAAGCAGCCCACTGCCCGCTGCTTTAGGTCCCGAGCAAGGGAAGCCCGTATTTGCTACGCAAGGCCTCGCGTTCCCGAACTCATACCCGCACAAACACCCTAAACCCGAAACCCTAAACCCTAAAACAAAAACCTAAACCCTAAACGTCAGGGGGCTGTTTGCGATAGCATGTCGAGTCGTCCGTGGATCGTCGGCAGCGCTACGGGTCCCGACGGATCTGAACTTGAGTCAGCAGTTCGTGCATTGCATTCTAGACCCTACTGACCAAAGGTGTTGAGGTATTGGTTTGGGGTTCAGGGTTTAGCGTTTAGGGTTTAGGGTTTAGGGTTTAGCGTTTAGGGTTTAGGGTTTAGGGTTAGGGTTTAGGGTAAACGCGGATCCACAACACACAGGCCCCTGTACCCAAATGTCGTAGTAAGGTTGACAAACCGGCCTCCCTGGGTGCCTGCTGCCGCCTTCGTTTGGGAGCCAGGCTGCGAAGATGCAGGGTTTAGGGTTTAGGGTTTAGGGTTTAGGGTTTAGGGTTTAGGGTTTAGGGTTTAGGGTCTCGACAACATGCTTTCGCGAATGTTCCGTGTATATCCCTAAGGGTCCATGCACCCAAATGGGGGGCACTTGGGCCTGAAAAGTACTTCCTGTATAGAGTGCCAAAGAATGCAGGTGGGTTCGTGTCCTAGGAAAGTCTTTGCTGGCAACTGGGCAGTTTGAGAGCGACTTTGGGCCCCAGGTTTTCATCAAGAAGGAATGGAAGACCCCCACCAGACCCTTACATCCCACTTTTCCGAACTTTTTCGGGGGGCACTAAAGCTTGATGGGGGTTGGTCTGTGTCCTTGGCTAAATTGATAGGATGTTGATCTGACAATAACCTGTCCAAGAAGGTGACGAGGCACAAGAGGGTATAGATGAACTTCGCAAGTTGCAACCTCAACTACACCCTGAATGACCCTGAATGGGCTCCTGTGCCATAGTTTCCAGCGCAGGAGAAGCGACCGCGCGCACCCCACATCAGCTGCAGCAGTGGTCAATGGCCTGTTGCCAAGAATGGTCGCATCAGCAGTGCCACTTGTGCTCAAGGTTTAAATGGCGCTTCTTGCTTCGAGGGCTGAAGTAGTTTGGCTATTTTTGCACGCCTGGACGGCTTTCTCCTCTCTTTGTGTGTGTGTGTGTGTTTTGTTGGGCCGAGGTTCCTGTGGAGCCGTAGTAGTATATTATGTGCAGTGTATATGTGAGTGCGCCGTTTTGTGATCAAGAAGTAGGTGCCTGTCGGTAATGGAAGGTCTTTCAACGCAGTCTCGGAAAGTTGGTTAGGACTGAAACGCATGCACTGTATCAAATATGCATGTGTGCCCTTGGCTTCGTGTCTCGGATGCTCTGCTTGCCACTGACTGCGTGGCATCCATCGGAGACACTATGTCAGCTATGGCTTCCGCTGCTCCCAAACTTCAACAATCCACAGGAACAAGCAAAACATCACGCACAACCGGCTGCGCGCCGCACGGTTGTACCTTTCAACACGTGTAGGGCAATGTAGGGCCATCATTGTCGCGCTTCCCCGGCATCATCTTGTCAAATCTGCTTGCACACATCGAGCAAGGTTGCGAAGACCTCGCCGGTGTGGAAGTTGCTCTCATTGCCACCAGGTGCTTGCTCTTGCGTCTTTGCGATGTGTTGCTTGAGATCAAAGTTGGTAGTTTGGGCACGTAGCGCCCAGAATAGGCCGTGTTTTGACCTGCCGGCACCTCCCTGTACATGTAGTACTTTCCTGGAGCAATGGCCCATCGGCTCATCATCACTCAAAAGAGGCTTTAGCCCTAGTGACTTGTCCATCAGCTAGACACCACAACAGCTAGACACCACAAGATGGGTATAGGCTAACAAAGAAAACAGCTGCCTGCCAGGAGCTCATCACAGCTGGAGGCAGCATCTGCTCCTGTCGGGGTTGCGAACACTTTCAACAGTCAGCTGGATGCACCAGACAGGTTACGTCTCCGCGCAGGGCGAATGATAAGTCCAAAGTCTCATCTATATATGGTTGAACGCTGTGCGTTCTCATACCTCTGGTGTTCCCCACCCCTCCCCCCTGACATCCAACCATATAGATAATGTGTAGCTGCCGGCGGGCAGGCCTTGATCCTCAGTGGCCCGCACAGCGCGGCCGCTGGGCAGCTGCATGCACTCGTGAAGCGTGGCATACGGCGGCAGGCGCGGCAAAGAATCCGACTGAGTTTCGCAAGAGGGGCCTGCGGGGTTGACTCGAGTCTACGTGGACTCACGGGCAACTGGGGCTTGAGAATCAGGTCTTCGGGTGAGATGCCGGAAGAACACCCATAGAGCCAAGATTTGCAAGGTTATAGGTCTCGGATATGGAAAATGAGTTTCAGATTCATATTTGCACCACATTTGAATGCTTGCAGAGGTTGTTGCCAAACCTGAGCCTTTGGACCCTATGCTAAGTTCTAAAACCATACGATTCTTGCGAATGCGGTTTTGTTGATGCATGGATGCGTTGTGCCAAGAGCAATGCGAAATCACAAGGGGCCGTACAGGTTGGTGTGGGGCTTTCGGGTTCAAGCACCCTGTCGCAGTGGCGACTCTACCGCTCTGTGATCTGGTCCTTGGAATTCTTGGAAAAGTGAGCAGGATAGTAGGTGGAGAAGCACCAGACTATCCTAATCGAACATCGTGGCCTCTGTCCGGTCAATGTATCCCTAAGATGACCTGCGCCAGGCAGCAGAGATGCCACGTGCCTTGGCAGCTGCGGCAGGATTTTGCACTCAAGCATTAGCAGCGGCGTCTCTGGGCATCGCACAATTCCCAAGCTGTCTCGTTGCATTTGGGTTCGGTCATCCGAGAGGTTGAGCATGCAAGGGCCGAAAAACAGAGTGTCGCACCTCCGCTCGGCCTAGGGATCTTTGCAGCCCAGTGCAAAACAAATAAGCTGAAGGGAAGCCTGAAGGACAAATCAGGACACCCAAAGTGCACATGATCCGCGACTACCCAAGGGAGGCCCCTACCACGCGAGACCAACCCAAAAACCGAACACCACCCAGATTCCCTTGCAGAGAGCGCGAAATGAAGGCACTGCCGAACTCATCCTCCTGCTGCTGCTGCTGCTGCTGCTGCTGCTGCTGCTGCTGCTGCTGCTGCTGCTGCTGCTGCTGTTGCTGGGGGCTTTCATTGCTGCTGCTATGGTGCTGGTGGTGCTGGTGGTGCTGGTGGTGCTGGTGGTGCGCGGCGGCGCCGGTGCTGGCAGCTGTTAATTGTGCTGTGGCGTCTTCGCCTTCGCCTTCCTCTTCCTCTTCCTCTTCCTCTTCCTCTTCCTCTTCCTCTTCCTCTTCCTCTTCCTCTTCCTCTTCCTCTTCCTCTTCTTCTTTATTCTGCTTCTACTTCTTGGTTTGCCATTGCTACCGTGGTTGGGTGGTCGTCATCGTCAGAGTTGTCGTTGCCTGATGTCAGGTGCCCAAACAGCACGCGAGCTTCTGCAGAGCCACCGCGACACCCGCAGGACGGTGCAGGATCTTGGTGTGGCCGACTCCCCGCCTCTTTTGGGGGTTCCTAGGCCCTGGCTTTGATGAAGGTGTTGTTTTCTTTCTGTTTTGTTCTTTGAAGTGCGACGGCTAACAAGATTGCAACTATCCCTGCGCATTGCATCAGGCTCCTTCACAAGGACACTGCTCGGGTGTTTTGGACGTCCTGCTGCAGCAAGTTTGCCGGACACCCCACTCCACAGCCATCATCGCTGAAGATAGGCAGACGCCGCTTGATGGCAAGAACAAGCGGCTCGGGAGCTTCCTTGTTTTTTCTCTTGCTTTCGGATACCTTTCATAGTTCTGTCGAATCAGCAGAACCTGTTTCGACTGTTGGTGTTGCTGCTGCTTATGTGCTAATTTGGAAGCTCGAGCACAAACCCCCAAAGCAGACAAGCCCGAAACCCCTGCCCCAAACATAGCCCGACTGGTAGAGAACAGTCTGCTGCTGACGCGCCTCAGTGTGTCCCTTTGGAAGGGCTGGCCTAGAGGGGTCGGGGAATGGGAAGTCACTGCTGACAATGCAAATGCTCGCCCCCGATCTTGATTAGGAGAAACCATGTGTCCATGATGCTTACGCAGACAGGGTTCGAGCAGTCGAGCATCACAGAACGCACAGAAACAACAGTGCACACGTTCTTACGGTGCATCCTTTCGGGGTCGGTGATGCTCCCCGAGCCCCTGCTGCTGATCCTCATGATGCTCACCTCTTTGCGGCTGCAGGCACTCCCTCTTTATAAAGTGCCACCTGTGCATTCTCCAAATGTAAACTGCAATTGCGATGGCGCTTCGCTTTCGGGTAGGGCCTCCCTTCCCGCGCGGGGGAGCCCCAGAAATCCACCCAAAAGCCATGCCTTGTTTGGGAGGGATACCATTATTGGTCGCAGCGCGCGATTTTGGTCCTACTGAACTGTTTATCCAGGCGGCTACCTTGCTCGCTTGGTGGTTGCAGTGTATTCTGTATATTGAAATCGTAGTCGACTGCAGAGACTTCATTGTCATTTTCCTTCACGAGACTACCGAGAATTTGGTAAGGAGCCTGCATGCTGAGCCGAAGCATACCCGACTCAGCTACGCGAATCTGGCAGCCTACGCAGCAGAGACCTCCAACGAGCACCTTGTGCTGTTGGCTGAGGTTCCTTATAGGGTTGCTTTATGGGGGTAGTATTGGCGTGGAGGTGCAAGCAGTTTCAATGTGCTGAATTCTGGGGGACTCGGGGGGTGGTAAATTTCAGCTTGGATGTGAAGCTACGTTGAATGTGCTGTGAGTTCTGCAAGAACTACAACTTGAGTGGAAGGTGTGGGGCCCACGTTGTGAAAGCCAAGGCTCTTGGGCACCTGCCCTGCCCCGGTTGCCGTGGGAGTCTTAGCTCAGCGAGGAGCAGAGGCAGTGGTGGCGCTGGTCGCAGCTCTGTTGCTTGGAAGGCAGAAAGGCACTACAAAACACAAGACTATTCACTCATGAATGCTTTATAGTCCTTTCTCACAAGGGTTATTTTTCATGTTTCTTAATGTTTCTGTTTGTCCTTGTGAGCGTTTATTGGGCCAGTCCTGGCGGATTTCTGCTTTCGCCCGGAGTTCATCAAAACCGGATACGCCGTTTGTGCCGGGAACACCTTGCCCACAGAGACTTCGTCAATGATCCGTCATGATCCTTCGCGGACAAACGACAGTGCGGAACATGTACATCGTGAGTTTTATGAGCTACGAGGTGGAAGTGCCAGTAAGAGGGAAGGACACTTGGGATGTTCCTCCTTATACTAACAGTCCTTGATAGGGATCATCATAGGGGTACTAGAACCCCTAGTAAGGACTGTGAGTATCAGGGGGGACATCCCAAAGGACACCATCAAGGCAGTGGAGATGATTTCTTCTACTCCGACATGCCACAGAAAGAGACAACTAGAAGAACAGCAAGCGCGGACAGAATGCGAACACGACCACCACGTTCGGCTCGTGTTAAAAAACCAAAATTGCCATGGGGGTATAAAAGTGGTGCTTGGAACCGCACGCAACCGGTAGGTGTGTGCCTGACACAGAAACCAACAGATCCTGCAACACACATGGTCGACTGAGCGTGCAAAAGGTTGGAGCATTTCAATCTCATTCAATGTAGCACACATGCCTCCTACCTCCACGCTTCAGAGCTCAGACAGGCGAATGATTACTTACAAAGTCAAGTTCTTTCGCAACTCTCACAAGCATTTGCCAAAGTTGACAGCAAAAGCGGACAGTGCAATGTTGCACTTTAAGAAAGTGATAGAAAGTGTAAAAACACCGGTACCCTGTGCCTCCAAGGGCTTCGTGGGTACAGTTGAGCCTTGCTTCCCCTGAGAAGGGCTTTCCTCCCAGGAAGCCTATGCCCTGCTGAGCAAGTTTTAGCCAGTTCAAGAGGCAAAAAAAGGTATGACACAGCATGGAAGCTTCAGTTTTGCAGTTCGAAGCTCGTTGCAAGGTCTAGTACTGCTCAAGAGGGAGCATGCATGTGGGTGTTGTGTAAGGGCGTTTGTCTTGGGCCATTCGGCTACACTATACTCATGAGCAGCCTTGGGCTGACACTGCAGGTTTGCCTCCGCAAAGGCAGTGAGATGCTAAACCAGGGGCTCTCTTTCTATCGTTCACTCGAGAGTTCTAAATAGCATCAGAAGAACAGCGCCCACCAAAAAGCCAAGAGTAGTACCGCCGAAGCACAGCAGGTTACATGTTCCGCGCGTTCATCCCTATTGCCAATCCTATCGAGACCGCTACAGCAGTCATCCATTAGATTAGACTAACAGCAGCCAATAAACAGCTGGGGCAAGTGGGGGCAGGGGTACATATTGCTTAATATTGTATCGACAGACAGGTATATACTTAGCAGATGCAAATACGATGGCCTTACGAACCTCGATGCTCAGAGTGAATTTTCAGCCTCTAAGTCCTCACCAAACAAGGCTTTAGAAGATTCAGGGGGTAGTCCTGAGATGCCAGTTCTGTTGGAATCTGCAACCCCTATAAAGCAATTTATTTCATCAATCTGGACCTAGCTGGAGGTTTGCGAAACTAGGGGACCCCCACTATAGACCCCCAAATAGTTGGATCCCTTCTCAAAAGGACCCGGAAACCCCAGCCGAGGCTGAGCGGTGCAGCGTACTGTCCCCTCGATCCATCGCAACCATTCGAGCGCGTGGCGAGGGCCTGAGTTGTCCACCGATCTTGCAAAGTCCTTGGGGACGAAATAAACCATAAAAGGGTTTATGGTTCAGCTACCTGCATAGGAGTATAGTAGCTTAGGGTATATGACCCCAATTTTGGGGTTCGTTTGGTCCCCAAGCGTGGTGCCACGCTCTGAGAAACTGTCGAACGCGGAGATGGCAAACCACTCCAGGGGAGGACGGTCTTCGTACATGTGTGCAATTCCTCAGTCGGGCTGCGCGCAGCCTTGAAAGGAGACACTTTGGGAAGCTTGAGCCCATATTCGGTTTTACGGCCTCAGATCCGGACAGGTCGAAGTTTTGGATCTGCTGGTGTTCTGGGCGGTCGAGGTACCACGGGGCCCTTTCTTTTGGGGGGTGTGCTTCTTGGCTTGGCTTTGGCTGATCTTGGCTCGGTAGGCTGTGGAGCCTTGGTCGGCTCGCCTCGGGGCCTTGGCCTGGGCCTGTTTGGCTCGACTTGGCTTTGGCTCGGCTTTGGCTTAGCTCGGCCTTGGCTTCGAGCATTGTTGCAATGGCGATGAAAGTCATACAAGCATTGTGTTTGCAAATGCCACCCCAACCCCCCCCGCCCCCCCCCCCCCCCACCCCCAACCCCACCCCCCCCCCCCCCCGCAAATTGTAATCATCGACAGTCGCACACTGGGGGCGCTGACAGTCATTCGAGCATTGTGTGATATTGTGTTTTGCAAATGGGGGGGGGGGGGGGGGGGGGGGGGGGGGGGGGGGGGGGGGTGGGACGGGGGGTGGGGGTGGGGGTGGGGGGGGGGGGGGGGGGGGGGGGGGGGGGGGTGTTGGGAGGGGGTGTTGCACCCCCAATCCCTCCCCGCTTTTGGTAATCGTTGACAGTCGTACGAGCATTGTGTTTGCAAATGGAGTCCTCCCGCTTTTTCAATCCTTGACAGTCATACGAGCATTGTGAATTTGGCCCACACAATGTGCATGAGACTTGGGCGAGACGTCATTAGAAAGTGTGGGGGAGTGCGATGTTGATCCCGAATGAGCACGCAACTAGGCGAGAACACCAATATTGCCAAGCCAAGCCGAGCCACACTGTTGCACGGGGACGCAGCCAAGCCACACTTTTGCAAAAGAACTCCGCCGAAGTGCACTTGCTGAGGCAGCTTTGATTTCCGCGGCGGCTCTCGATGCCGTCCTTGTGGCCATGGAGCCCCTTAGATGCCATTCACGGTTGCGACTCTACAGCCTTTCTGTTCTCTGTATATCTACACACATATTTGGGCTATTTGGGCGTTCCCCCACGAAACTGCCTACTTGTTATAGCCAAACTAGTGATTATAGCAAAGGTTCTCGCCAAACTCGTTATACATAAGTATGCATGTAAAATACGACAGAAGCCTTCTGTTTTTACGAATGCATTGGCTTGGCGATGAGGTTATCTCTGCGATGTACATTCTTTCGTTCGGAGCTGAATGATGTTCTCCAGCCATGTCTACTTTGCACGTCAGGATCCCATTCCATTATATAGATTGTTAAGTTGAAAAATGGTATGCTAGCCATATGGTTCGCTCATTCGATACATGTGAAAGTAATTCAATGGCAGCGTTCGTTGCGTAAGACTGTCGATGGCATTCGATTCTCCCTAGTTCAATAGTTTACACAAGTTAGCTTTTTGATGAAGGCACATAACTGGGGGCCCAAGGTATCACTCCACATCACGAAGCTATGATTCACGAAAAGGTGGTTCAGATGTTCTTCGACTGAGTAAACAATCAGGGCTGAGCTCTTTGTTGCAATTTTTGGGGGGGGTCATTTTTCATGATCACGTTACAGTAAAGGAAACAAATGGATCACACCGAAGTTATGGTTTCATTAGTGAGTAACTTGAATGGTTTTGCCCTGATTGGCAAAGTACTGGTTTAAGGGTTCGCTGTTTTCATATTTGAGGGAGTGTGAAAAACCCAGTGGAACTGTTGTAGGCGGTGACCCCTTTATATTTGCATTCGTGTTATGAATTTCTATGGGGGGTTTACGAAAATAGGGTACCCCTAAAAAGTCCCACAAATAGTAGGATCCCAGGAAAACTCCAAAACAACCCACTGGTACCCTCGAAACGACCCCCCCTAAACCCTAGACCCTAAACCTTAAACCCTAAACCCCAAGACCGAATTGGCCGAAGTCCCCGAAGTCCAAATTCAACTCAGGCACTCGAGTTTGGGATCCAGGCTCTCAGACAGTGGGGTGCTGACGGCCCTTTGAGAGCATGTGGATAAGCATGTTTCCCCTTATACAAACAGTCCTGAATAGGGATTATAGTACAACCTATTTTTAATCCCTATTAAGGATTGCTAGTATAAGGGGGAACATCCCAACATGTGGATTTAGATCCTTTTCGTGGTTGGATCCAGTTTACGGATTTGATCCTACACCCAGGCCCGCCTCCTAAATCCTGAACTCAGGAAAACCTTCCCCGCCCAGCACCAGGCCCAAAGCTCCAAAGCAAGCACTTGAGAGAAGATGCTCAAGTATTCTTGGAACGTTCAGCAACCTCGCACTGAATTTCAAAACTTTGGGATATCAAGCCGTGGGCTTTGTGATCCGAGCCTCTGTGAAGATCCGATTGTGTCAGTCACGGGTCGCAATGTTCATCTGCAGTGATCTGCAGTGTCAGCTGCATCCCGATGAGTAACAGCGGCCAAGGTTGTTAAACGCATCAAGGAGCTGGCAATGCCCAAGGTTTGGGATGTTCCCCCTTATTTCAACAGTCCTTAAAGGGATTATTATGAGGGGGGTACTATCATCCCTATGAATGTTCAACCAGTCCTTAATAGGGATTATAATAGCGGGGTACTATGATCCCCATTAAGCACCGTTAGTATACCATATATATTCTCATTATGCATAGTTAAATGTGTTAAATTATTATTATTACGGGGGGAACATCCCAAGCCAAGGTGATGGCTGTCGGAACTTGAGTTCATGTTGGGAAGTCGGGCTCTCTCGCCATTGCAGCTTCAGGTCTTGCGCGCCTAAACCCTAAACCCTAAACCCTAAACCCTAAACCCTAAACCCCAAACCCTAAACCCTAAACCCTAAACCCTAAACCCTAAACCCCAAACCCTAAACCCTAAACCCTAAACCCTATCCCTAAACCTGCAGCATCTGCATCTGAGGTTTCCATTCGCATGACGGCCGGCTCGTCCAGGAATTCCCGGAGACGGTGGCAGAAACGGAAACCAAACCCCCCCAAACCAAATAAACAAATAGAAACAAAATTGACGGTACTTAGAAGTGCTAACATAAGAGCAAATAGAGCCAGCTATAGAAATGATAAAGATGTCGGTGACACTGATGATGGTCATGATGATGATCATGATGCCCTGCGTTCTCAACCCACTCTCAGACCCCCCACCCAAACCGCGCCTGTGACGCGCAGGATCCCTCCAAGAAGATGCCGGAATGCCAAGGGGAAAGCCATGTATGCTCCCTGGCTGCTATGGCTTCCTTTCGCAAGGCAGTCGCAGTTTTCAGGGAGTTGGAGTCTGGCGGCCCCCAGATCCTCCTGTATCTGCTCCGCGCAGGGAAGGGTCAAGAACGACCTCTTAGTTGTCCACTTAAGAAGCCCCCATGCGCGCCCTATTCCCCCAAAGAAGGTCAAGCAAAACTCTCTCTGTGCCCACTTTCACTTCATGATATCACACCTCAGGTTCTGTTCACATCGGGCTCCACAGGCATCGGGCCAAATCCTCGGGGGCCGGAGGTTTCACCCTGAACCCTGCCCCCCTGTACCTTAATTGCCAAACATGAAGCAAGCAGAAAGATCAATCCTAAGTCTAAGGTCCTGCGATCCTTGAAGAGGAAGCGAACCCTCAAGTTGTATACATGCCAATGGCACATCTCTTAAACTGCCCCAAGCTGGCCTAGGGCCTAGGTCAGGGCATCAGCGCCGTGCAGTGCATCACAGATGTATACGACTGTGTGATGGCACGAACTAGCTTTACCTCCTCTAGCCCGCTGTGCCACGCAACCCTCCCAAGCCCCCGAAGACCATGAGAATCCGCAAGCATACCCGGGGGTGTTTTCCGCATCCCTGATCTTGAAACTGTTCTGTGGCGCCTTGCTTTGCAGGCACCCCGAAGATTGTGCGAGCATCTGAGCAAGCAGCGGCTTGGCATGAAGCAGGCAGCAGGCGACACAACAAGGTGGCAACCGAGGCCTGCGCCGACCTGGCCGGACTCAGTTTGTGATCTGACTTCCTTTGTCATGTTTGAAGGGCAGTTCTTGGTTCATGGCGGATCATCCTTTCGAAGCCTGAAATTTCAAATTTCAACTAGAAGGAACAAGGAACAAAATCAAAGGCCTTGCCCTTTCAACCAAGATGAACCTTGAAATCCGGAACAGAGGCCGAACAAAAACAAAAGAGAGCAGCATCTGGCCCGGAAAATTTGTGCACAGGATCCCACCACACCCCAACATGTAACTGGGCCATACTGGACCTCTTCAAGATCCTTTGGGGCACGGGCTGTCAGCTTGCTCCTGAGGTCCAAAAACGCAAAAAAAAAACCCTTGGATGTTGCCACAGTTGGCAGTGTTTGCTTCTCAGCTGTTTATGCTAATTGCTGGGATGAGTGAACCAGGAGTGATCACGATTTATGAGTAAGAAGCATGCATGATCTTGGGCGTACTCGCTCCCGTTTGAACCTCTCACCTCTCACAACTGTGCATGCCAGTCCGCACTCAAGCCTAACATATATTTGTTCATTCAACGAAGAGGCATGACCTTTGCAAGGGTTATCTACGAACAAAGAGCTTGTAGGTAAGTCAATCGCAGTGAACCTGTTAGCTCGTAGTGCAAATAATTACACGAACGCCGAAGTTGGCCGTTGTCCTTGAAGATTTGCCTGCCAAAATGTTTCCACCAGTCCGATAACCCGCCCTCCAGCACCATCTGCATGGTAGCTTTGATTGCGCTACTTTGTCGAAATCGTTCTTGCTGGCTTTCTGCACGCTGGATCCTTTAAAGCGATGTAGACTTGCGGCTGGCTACTATTCCCTGCACAGCAAAGGCCATGACTCATCTGGCACACGTCGTGCGTGTTCATAAGCTTCTGCCCACGGACGCCAGGTCCTCGAAGGTGGGTTTGGGCTCAGGTTTTGCAGGGCTTGGAGCGAATCTGACTTGCCTTTTGTTGGAAAGTGACACTGAATAAGCGTCCAAGCAACAAGGTTGAGAAATGCGTACTCGTCACAGATCGAACTGGAGTCTGTCCGTAGCCCCTAGACAAGGACCTGATTCCAATTTGTGTCCAAAGCTTCCATCCCAGGCAGCTCCACAAGGGTACCCAAACCTCGAAGTCCCAAAATCTCTTCACAACGATGCCAAAACCCTTCGAAAACTGGTAACCACAAGGCAGCTGAACCAAGGTCGGCCTCCAGCAGACGAGCCTGTCTTGGGTGGCAGCAATGCCAGAGGCTTCGGGCACAGGAGGATACAACCAGCCCCAAAGCATGTCAGCTCAGTTTCCTAAAACGGAGCGGTACATAATTGAGTTCCGGGACCTACAGTTGCTGTTAACGGGGTTGATACTTGGGCGCGGCAGCATTCGCAAGCAAACGACACTTGTGGGTAAATAGCTTGTCACTTCGATCCCCAAGCCCAACAATCCCCACTGCCGTTTAGGGTTTAGGGTTTAGGGTTTAGGGGCAAACTTGCCGAACCCCTCTGCACATGGTAGTTGGCAGCACAGAACGACAGGTCTGGGCGCCGCTGTTGTCGGGTGCGACTCTGGCAGTCGCGCCGCTGAGCTCTGGAGGCAGGATTTACCCTAAACCCCTAAGCCCTAAACCCTAAACCTTAAACCCCAAACCCAATGTAAACTTGTGGAATGTAAGTAGACATCCATCGCCTCCGCACAGCCGATGTTGGTTTCTGAAGTTCCGACCGCTCTAAATCCAAGTCCAAATAGGATTTAGGATCCCGAGGCCTGGACCACAACCTACTCTTTGTGTTGTGTGTTCTCCGTTTCTGCTGTTGACCTTGAACTTCGATGGGCCAGGTGCCAAAGATCTGGAAGTCCTGGTTGCAAGCTTAGTGGTCTGGGCACTGACAAACTCCTCAAGATTGCTTGCAGGACTTGCAGACGCTTGGAACATGTACAGTTCGTAGTGTTAAGCCAAGTGTGCCAACATGCCCTTCTTTGCCGACTAGCTACTGCCTACAAAACAGGGACTCCTACTCATACTAGTACTCCTACTACTGCTACTGCTCCTCCTCAAACTACTACTACTACTACTACTACTACTACTACTACTACTACTACTACTACTACTACTACTACTACTACTACTACTACTACTACTACTACTACTACTACTACTACTACTACTACTACTACTACTACTACTATTTATTTTATTGAACGCTGAGCGAGCGGGCTCTGCTCATTGCGGGCGATTCGCACCGTTCTGAGCACCGAAAATTAGTTTGGAGCGGTGGTTAGAGAGGTGAAACCGAATTCACTAGGTGTAGATCAGTGTGAGACGAGGCGAGCTTCTTGACTTGGTTAGAGTGTTGAGCAAGAGCTGTAGCTAGTTAGCTAGCTGTCATATGGGTGAAAAGAGTTGTAGCTCCCGTCATCCTACTGTGTCTCACTGCGTCCAGTAGACACGCACCTTCCTGCAAGTGGGTCGTACCTGATTGGCCGTCTCCCTCAATGTCCATCTTGTGGCGTCCCACATGGATCATTGATGCAGGAAGGCAGAGGACCGTAGAGCAGTCACTTTGGCAGATTTGCAGCAGTGTGTGTTGGGCTGGGCCTCCCGGATTCAGAGTAAGGCAATCCTCACTAGGTACATGGCTGGTGAAGAAATGAGCTCAAACTGCAATAATGTTAAGACCTGCTTTTTCCCCAGTGCTGTGCGACCTCTCAATCGTCGATGTTTGTTACTTTTGTACATGGGAGCAGTGCTCCTCACCAGCTGAGCAGTGCTCAGATTAAGGCTGGTTCGGCCTTGAGATTAAAGTAAAGAAGAAAACAGGCCAGTGTTCAGCGTCCAGGAGCTGAACTGCCGGACTCTGCATGTTGTTCAAGCGTGCTGTATCCCACCACTGGAACTGGTGGGCCAGTAAGCGTGTGGATCGGGGAGACGAGGACGTGTTGATGGGGTCCAGCCGGCCCCTCATAGTTGTGGACGTGCCCCTGTTGCAGCTGGAAGAACCAGGTGCGGCGTGGAACACCTTGAATGACCACGACCGGCCCTGGGCTGAGCGTCAAGCTCCAGAGTTGCAGCCTTTCCCCCGGTGTATACACTGGGGGCGCAGCTTCGTGCATTGGCCTTGTTCCTGGGAGTGGAAAGTCCGTTCCACTGCGTGATGGTGGTGGTGGCCCGGCCGGGCTAATGTAGGGAGGCACCCCATTCCAAGCGATAGACAAGTTCTGGGCAGGCGTGGTAGGAAGGCCACCTTCCTCTGGTCGTCCAGTGCGAGCCTTTGCTGCTGGGCGCAGCTGAGTGTCACGTGCTGGCGCTGTGGGCATCTCGTCTGGGGAGGATCGAAATAGTGAATCCGTCTCCGACTCTTCACCTAAGTCAACGGCCTCCGCTTCCGAGCCATCCTGCTCCCCTTCAAATAGTGAATCCGTCTCCGACTCTGCACTTTCCCCTGTCATTGCTGGCGTGGCGTCAGGCTCTGTGCGACAATGGCGTTTCGGCGACATTCGGAGGAAGTTGGAGACTTACACGTAAAACAGAGAAATTGAGCCAGGGCCTAGTGCAATTAGCTTTTTTAAAGCACTGTTTGTTGATGCACCTGTGTTGCCTAGTACCATGGCAGAGCGTGTAGCGTGCGAACACACTCGGATTGTTCTTGAGCAGACCCGGCCTCACTTTTGGAAGGGGTACGCTGCTCCAGGCTCGAGACCTGCCCGGCGGTCCGCCGGGGTGAACCGCTCTAGGCGGCAATTCCGGTATCCGCACCTCACAATGTGAGGCCAGCCGCAGAGCCCCTTGCGTGGTGGGTAAATTTCTTTGCCGAGTTGTGTCTGTATCGGCAGCTATTCTAGCCACTGAGCTGCTCCTCGTCTCAAGAACGAGTCCGGCACAGAAGCGCACCCCTGTGGTAACGAGCGATACTGAAGAAGGGGGCCAGCCTCGTGTGACTAGTAGCCGAGACGGTGCCCTGCCAGGTGAAGTGTGGCTGCTTGAGGCTAGGAGGACAGGAGTCTTTAGAGCGGTGCGTGGCTGTTTGGATCGGTCTACTTGTCATGTAAGTGCTCCGTTTTGTTTCTGGGCTCGCTGCCGTCGTTGGGTTCTCCATCCTGGAGCATCGCGGACCTTGGTAGCTTTGCTTAGCTTGGCTATTTGCCTGCAACACAGTGATGAGCAACGGCAGACTCTGCTTGATGATGTGAGATGACTGAAGTTTGCCAGAGGTGAGAGGAGGATTATAAACAGCTGTCAAGAACAACCAAGTCCTCAGGCTTGCAGGGGTTTTTCTGTCCGTTCGGATGTATCCGGCGGCCAATGGAGGCAAAAGAGGATGGAGAAACGTCTTGACATCATAGCAGACTACTACTACTACTACTACAACAACTACTACTACAACTACTACTACTACTACAACTACTACTACTACTACTACTACTACTACTACTACTACTACTACTACTACTACTACTACTACTACTACTACTACTACTACTACTACTACTACAACTACTAACTACTACTACTACTACTACTACTACTACTACTACTACTACTACTACTACTACTACTACTACTACTACTACTACTACTACTACTACTACTACTACTACTACTACTACTACTACTACGACGACTACGACGACGACGACGACCACCACCACCACCACCACCACCACCACCACCACCACCACTTCCACCACTACCACCACTACCACCGCTACCACCGCTACCACCACTACCACCACTACCACCGCTACCACCGCTACCACCACTACCACCACCCACTAGCACCACTACCACTGCCACCACTGCCACCACTGCCACCACTGCCACTACTACCTTGCTGCGACTGCTACATGGGGATGATGACGTCCATGTTGCCGCTGCATGCGATTGGCCACAGCAACCGTGCTGATTGGATGATAACGTCCCTATGACCAGTGGCGGCGAATGCCCACAGCATCCACGCCGGTTTTGCAATCGAATGGCGATTGTCATGAGGGTCTTCCATTTCCTATAAGTATTTCATCCTCTAGCAGGGGTTCTGGGTTCTACTGTCTCCGTATAGGGACCTCGGTGAATGCTGCATGACGAAGCTTGCTATCCAGGCGAAATTCGCGTCCAAGGGCTGCAGCTTGCAACAGTACGTCCCGTCCGTGTTGGAGGCCCTTTCACAGGTTTTTGCTGACACACGAAGCGCACGATGTACCTTCAGGGTCTTTCGATTCCCGTGATCGGTCATTCCTTTGAGCAGCAGTCTGCTGTTTCAAGCTGCCGTTCTCGGGGTTCTCCCTGCAGCGGCAGGGTACTTGTAGTAGGAATTGTGGGATGTTAATTTCAACGACCCGCGACCCACCTCTACCTGAGCTTCTGTAACATACCGGGGGCCCGAACCCAATGAAGGCCCAGACCGCGCGGGGGGGGGGAGGCGGGGGGGGAGGGGGTGGGGGGCCCCTCTGGCATATTGTTCTTGGGGGCATACGGTGATCAACTTTCACATCCCAGCCTGACGCCGCACTTGAAGGTTGGTCAGATCACCGCATCTCGATGGTACGTTAGAGTGTCCCCCCAAAAAGAATTGAAGGTTTGTGCGAGGACGCCATGAAAGCCTTGAAGCGTGCAAGCGCACGGGCGGGGTGCAAGTGCCAAATATTCAGAATGTAATTCAGAAGCGAGCATGCTTCTGGATTTGGACTCTCTTTTTTTTCGGACAGACACAGTGCGCAAGCCAGCCATGGCAAAGTCGGGCAGGGTTTAAGTTCGGGTTTTGGTATGTAGCTTATGTTTAGGGATTCCGAGAGAAGAGGGCTTTGACCCTAAACCCTTAACCCTAAACCCTAAACCCTAAACCCTATACCGTAAACCCTGAACCCTAAACCCTAAACCCTAAACCCTAAACCCCTAAACCCTAAACCCTAAACCCTAAACCCAACAGCTCCAAGCTTCCCAAACCCGCCCCATGCGAGGCCATGATCACTGCGGAGCTTCGGCCTCTTGGCGGTGCCTGCCGCCACTTGGTGCTCACCGGCACCTTGGGTTCGCACATCTGGGGGTCAACAAGGGGTTTAGGGTTTAGGGTTTAGGGTTTAGGGTTTAGGGTTTAGGGTTTAGGGTTACTGAAGGCTTCAGGTCGATTGCCGGGATGGCGGTCCCGGGCCCAGGGCTTGGCACTGGACAATGACCGGAGCTTGGATGACTCGGGTTCATGATGGGATGTCGTTTTCATGAGACGCCCGATGCAGCAGAAACGTTTTGCTGAACACCCGTTTGAGCATCTGAGGCCTCAGCCTGTTTCCGCGTCAAAGAAGGGAAGATATGTTCCCGAGAGCTAGGCAACCTTCACGAAGAAGCAGCCCAGTTCATGGCCGAATGAATTTATCTTAAGTTTTCCTGAGTATGCCCTGTCCGTGGGCCCTTCTCAAGCACCACGGCGGGAACATCCTGCCTGTTACCTCAAAGCCTCGGACCCAAACCTGCAAGTCTTTGCTGAGGGGAGCCGCTCTCCAGTGAACTTTGCAGCCGGCTTTCGCGCATCGGGACCTTTGTGCTGCGGAACCACTACGGTCAGACTGAGGTGGCCGGAAGAATTGCTTGCAGACTGCGCGAAAGGGGAACAGCTGGCATGAGCCCACCGCTCCTCACTTCTACTGTGGCCTAATCAAATGTTTGAGGATGTTTGGACTGTGGATGCACTTTCGACTCCGTCCTTCCCACCACACACGAACCCAACCGCCCGACCTCTCTCTGTTTGTGATGTGATATGTGTGATTATGTGTGTCACAGGCTGCTGACACCACGACCGTCTTCGTCGCGGCTCCGTCAGGTCTGGCCGCAATGCCCATCGGACGGCCAGCCATGCATCGCCAGGTGCGCGCACGCCTTTGTTGCTTCTACAAAACAGGTCAGTGCCTGAAACCCTAAACCCTAACTCGGGTTTATATCTCATGTGCTCTGAATCATCGTTGTCTAAGAACAGGCAGACATATTGGGATTCGCAACCCCAGGTCCTGGCGTGAAGACTGCAGTACTGTAGAAGGCAGCCACTCTACAAAAGTTCGAGATTGGCAGCATGGTGCATCATGCATTGGTTTGGGTTCTGTTCTCCTCACTCTTACAGATGTCCATCCGTGGTGGTCGAAAGATGAATCCTAGGCTGAGGCTGAGTGGCCCACATTCGACTGCATTAGATTCGTGCGGAAAGTGAGTTCGTGCTGTTCATATCATGATATCGAGAGTAGATCTGGGCCTTCGCCCAAGAAGGCTTCTCCATCCTTAGCGAGGCTTCACCGCCAGTTGCTCAAACCGCTTCCACGCATTGCAATGCAGGGATGGCCTGTCAGGGAGAAACATGAGATTCTTTTGATTTCCTTTGGAGGTGTATCGTGAGCGCCTGGGCGCTCACGAAGCCGTATGGGATCCAGCGATGGTTGATCACGATGGAGCACTTGCAAAGACTTGACATGTCACTACAGGCGTCGTCGTGGTCTCTTCTCTTGTTCTCCGTAAGACAACGGGTGCAAGCATACCAAAACTCCGTAGCACATGTGAATTCGTCTGCTGTGCGAGCGCGATGGACACTTCCAAGGACTATCCATTGCGCAGCCCTGACTCCTTTGGACAAAGCTCTGCAGAGCATGGGCTCTTTCGCAGCGTCAAGCCATGGCAAGTGCTTCGCAGACGAGGAATCATTTTTCACAACACTCTGGCTTCACTCATGGCAGCAGGCGGCTTGTCGACAACGACCTGGACCCCCTGGCATGCGGATATGATAAAATCTTTATCCATGTAGCTCAAAGAGCTCCTTTTTTTTGCCCGTGGCTTGACAGCAATCTTATGCTCGTATGTGCATGTGTTCATTCCAGCCGAGGTGGCTGCAGCAATACCCGCTTCCCTAGGAAGGAGGAGGTGCAACTTGCTGCTTGGCAGCCCAGTGGTACCCTTTACCCTTTTTTCCCCAAACAGTCCATTGTTGGGGTTCTCAATTCATTTAAGGATTGCCGACATTTTGAGGACTGTTGCCAGGTTCTGGGCTCCTTGTCTCCCTTTGTCTCCCTTCATGTGGGCGTCTTTGCCGGGTTGCTGTGCTTCTCGCCTCCCCTTGTCTCCCTTCGTCTCCCTTTGTCTCCCGTCGTCTCCCGTCGTCTCTATTGTTTCTTTGACGTGCCTTTCATTGTTTGCCCCCCTTTCGGTGGTGCAATTTGGGTTCTGGTTTCCCTATAAAAATACCCAACCCCAAAAAAGGGTGCCCTTATGATGAGATGGCTTCTGGGCTACCAAGGCTGGGGAATGTCTTTTCAGTGCCTCGGTTGAGACGGATCACGTTGACATCTTCATTGGGCACTCTTGGAGCGCCGGGAGGTGGGCCAAGTTTCTCTCACTCTGCCTGCCGCTTGGCGTGCGTTCTTGTGTGTACTGTAGTCTGTAGAGGTATATGCCCCTTTTGGGATATTTCATCTGTCTCCCTTATTTGGGCTGAAGAGGATCATATTCAGGAATATTTTTCAGAGGTTTAAACCAAGGTAGCCACATGTATCTTTGCAGAAAGGGGGAGAGAACACTGTGGGTACGTAGGCATCTATGTACGTAACGTGTACAGATATGCAGATGTGTGAAAAAATGTCAGCATAATTTGCATACATGTCAGGCATGCAGGCAGTGAGCTTCAACCTCAAGCAGCAGATTTGGGGGTTTACGAGAATAGGGGAGCCCCAATATAGATCCCCAAATGGGAAGATTCCCTTATAACAAGGACCACAATAAGGTACCCAGAATCTCGGAAACCCCCCATGTGTCCTAGGGGATATACAGCAGAACAGCAGACAGAGGTTTATTTTGCGGGCCGGCCACACGGTCAATCACTGGCCGGCAACAGAACAGAAAGCCCACAAGGACGTATTTTGCAAAATGCATGCAGAACGATGCAGTTTGTTTTGCGACAGGAGTTTGCGGGATTTTTGCATCTCACTTTCGTTGTTGCGAAAGGTGTGCTACAATTTTGCGAGAATGTCGCGGATGTTCTTGGTGACTTCGTGGAATTTTGCGAAATTGAGTCTTTTGCACGAAGAATTTGATTTCCTTAAATTCTGTTGGCAAACATGTCGCGAAAAGATGGCAAAAGGCTCAAGATTTCGCAAAAGTTTTGCAAAAAAAGTACATATTCCCACCCCGTGAATCTGTGGCCTGTGGCCCTAAGCATCTCATCATCCTCACTCCAACAGCACATGCACCATCTTGTCCTGAAAGATCGCACTTAAAGATTTCCTTCAGCCGCCCAGCAACTTCCCTCGAGCTGCCTTTGTGGTCCTTTGCCAGAGATCTAGCGTTTTCTGTTCTACCAATTGTAAAGGTCTACGTGTTGATGTACCAGTTTAGTGTTGTATACAAATTGTCGACGTAGGTCTAGTAGTTCTGGTAAAACATGTAGCTCCCGATTCCACGTGTATATAGAGCTTCAATACTTCTACAGTTGTATCAGCAGTGCGTTAGGTTCAGGAAAAGAGGCGTCATTGTGTTTTTTTGCGAAAGCCCCCCCAAGGCTTCACCTCCCAAAACCAAAACATCAGCTGCTAGCTCGTCAGTGAGGTTCTTCAACCTTAGCATGGCCATCAAATGGTCCTTTGGCACCTGGCTTGTTGCGTCGATCACGCTGGTCAGCTGGAGCGGGGTCGGCTTTGCAAACCTGACAGGTACCTGCCTCACATTCCTTCTGCTCGAGGGCTTGCCGCTCAGCGTGTTCTTCGGTGTCTTCTTCTTCGGGCAGCAAGTCTTCCGAGCTTGTGGGAACTCAACATCTCCTTCCGTGTGGCTGGACAGGCTTTGTGTGCATCAGACGGACGAGTCTCGGAAAGCCGCGCAGATAGCAGCCCTTCCCATTTTCGTTGCGCGTTCATCCCACATGCTGATCCTTCTTGATGATACCTATTGTGAGCGTCTGTGGTGCAATCTAGAACTTGCCACGTTTGCTCGCTATGGTGGAGCCGAGAATATCCGGGTGCAGCCCTTGTGGTTAGCTCCTTGGCTGCTCAGCTCAATCCTCCTCGATTTTGCCGGCACTGTTCTTTTTGAGCTGTCAATGCATGCTTTTCCCAATTGGACATCCGCGGGGCAGCGGCTCGCAGGCATGTTAGAGCCATTTCTGGGCGAAAGCCCAGTCTTGCTGAACTTTGCGTCGCAGGTTTTCATTGTTCTGCTGGTCGCGCTCACATACCTGCCTTCTTCTTTGCCTGCTTATTTTTCCTTCCGCATGAAGCTACATCATCACCAGCTGATGCTCCGCCAAATGGCGGAGTTTGATGTCAGGAAAGCAAAGTGCACGGATCCCACAGATCGCACCGCGATCATGCAGCAAGTGCAGGTGCTGTTCGAGGAAGCTCCAGCTTCCCTGATTGATGACGGGGAGTTCCAGATAGCCAGGTTCGCTGGTGATTCTGATCCGTTGGAGAATTTCAACGGCTATGTTAGAGGCAAGTTGCGCGACATCGTGATCTCCCACTTTGGTAGCGAGCATCACATCACGTGGCAGATGTCTTTGCTTGCATACCTCCCATTGATCTTCTACTCCACTGTAAACGTGCTCGGCTGCGACAATGCTGCATGTGAGGAATCAGCTTCTGCCTACGGCTACAAGTCTGTAACGCAATATGTGGTATTCCAAGCTGCGCTCTGGACACTGGCTTTCATTGTTGTCTTCCCAGTGACCTATCCGATCCTCCTCCGACTGCTCACATTGGCCCTGTCCTTTCCAGACGGTCCATTGCAACGATGTTCAGCCTGCCTGTGTCCCTTTTTGGCAATCGGTTACACTTGGCTGTGCTTTGGCATCCTGGTAGCCTTTGGTGTATCACTTGCAGCCTACTATTCGACAACACTGTGTGTACTCTGCCTTGCGTTCCTGGCCGCTCTAGTCGTTCAAGTCGTCTGGCTCTTCAACACAGACAAGCCGCATAGACTCTCCTGTCGGTGCGTCAAGCGGCACATGACGTACGAACGCGTTGCCGACCCTTAGGGTTGACCACAACGTGTTTAAGGCTTTCTACATTGCAAGGCGGCTAGCTTGATCAGATTGCTAGTTGGGACTGCCCCCCCCCCCGAAGAGTGGCAACATTCGTCTCACCATGTCCAGCAGTACTTGCGCCAGCGCACCGGCGCGGTTGGCATTTTGAAAAAAGGTGTGTTATGAGTAGATGCCTGACCTGAGCTCTCCACCATGGCACTGGAACCCAAAGATCGGCACAACCGCCCCATCAAACTCGACGTTCAAGTCCCAATTCCAGCAACAACCCCGGTTCCCTGGCCATCCGAACCCACCATAAGTCACACTAGCGTCACGTGTCGTTCCCCAGCTAGTGTTTCGCAACGTGCAAAGCGGCAGATTCATCCTTTAACATCCCAGCTGACCCCACCCACTGAAATGTGACAGGACCAGCTGAAAAGCGACAGCCGATCTGCTGTCAATTTTCCTGAGTATAGGGAGTCTTAAGCTCGTGCTCAGCACAGCCGACGTGCGCCGCAAGCTCGGCTGTAAGCTGCCCCCATGCGCCAGGTGTGGCTCGAAGGCGTGCAGTTCCCTGGAGATCCACGGCGCACCTGGGAGCCAGGCAACCTCCCAACTTTATATGGGGGTTTCCGAGGGTTTAGGGTTTAGGGTTTAATTTTTTAGGGTTTAGGGATTAGAGGTGCCTTATTGGGGGTCCGTATAAACAAGCTATTTGGGGTCTATATGGGTCCCTCATTTTCGTAAACCTCCTTGTGAAGCGTCGCACAAGGCGCGGTTGCTCGTTCATGCGTTGCTGGGCGTGTTTCGGTTGACAATGGGCTACGACGGGTTTGACCATCTGGATGGTTCAGTGGATGGTCACTTGAAGTCCTGAAGCCCGTAACCTCACAGTAAACTCTAAACTCTAAACTCTAAATCTAAACTCTAAACTCTAAACTCTAAACCCCAAACCCTAAACCCTAAACCCTAAACCCATACATATATATATATATAATATGTATATATATATATATATACATACGTATATATACACATATATATATATAGATATCCTCATCTCATCTTTAGAGCTAGGGGCATGACGTGCGGCATCACCTGGGCTTGGGATGCAGAGAGCAGATGCCACGTTCAGAACGGATCAAGTAACGACCCCGGCGGCAGGTATGTCTAGATAGAATTCATGGAATTTAGGGTTTTTTAACGTTAAAAACCCTAAATGATAGAATTCATAGAACTCTGAGTCCGAGGCATGAAATTCAATCTCCGACTCTAAGCCCTATACCTTAAGACCCAAAACCCTCGAGTAAACTCCAGCAAATTGAAACCCCAAAACCTAAAAAGCCTAAGCCCTTAAACCCTTAAGCCCCCAAGCCCTGCACCCCTAAACACCTCAGGGAGACACCATGGGTGAGGGTCATAAGTAAAAATGCGAACCCTCCGCCCCGCACATGTGCGTAGGACCTTTGTGCTCAATTGGACGGCATGTTCCTGCTACTTAACGCCTTCCTTCAAAATGTACAGAAGGTTCGGGGGCTGCATTTTCAGCATTTCACAGATATAAGATATTCCAATTGTGTACGCAGGTTTTTGAGGGCCACATATTAAGCGTTTTGAACATGATATCTGATACGTTGGCCGAATCTGGGGTTGCTGTAGCGCGGCCCTTAACCCAATTAAACGTATAATAAGTTTTTGTTGCGATGAACTGTTTTTTCAAGGTTGGAAGTTTAAATCATTCGGGAAAGCCGGGTGCCCAGCAAGTTTAAATGCTTAGCATCTTTCATTTTTGTTGCCTTGAGGGGAGGGCGCATTGTTAAACTCTGAACCTGAAGGGTAAGAAGTTGGGATGTTCTCCCTTATAGTAGCAGTCCTTAATGGGAATTCTAATCGGGGGGGGGGGTACTAGAATCCCCATTAAGGGCTGTTAGTATAAGGGGGAATATCCCAAGCAAGCAATTGTTAATATGAAGAAACCGCGAGGCGAACTGCTTGTTGCCGGCCCAGGGCTGCAACTGCGCGGTGCAGACGCAGAGGTCGATCTCAAGCCGAAAGCTTGCTTAGGCTTTGGGGTTTAGGGTTTAGGGTTTAGGGTTTAGGGTTTAGGGTTTAGGGTTTAGGGTTTAGGGTTTAGGGTTTAGGGTTTAGGGTTTAGGGTTTAGGGTAGGGTGTGGGGTTTAGGGAAGCCATCAGCCAGCTGAGTTATGCAAACCCTGAAGGGTTTCACATGGTTTCACCATGGTTCAAGTTCTGAAGTTGCCGATCTTGCCCTCAACTTGGATTCTTGCTGTGGAACTCCCGAACCCGAATGCCCCCATCCTCTCAGCAAGGGGCATTTCAGGTGGCTTCTTCAGAGGGGAGGGGGGGGGCACCTCGAGGCGGCCTAGAAAGCAGACCTCAGGAAATCATGAGCAGCCCTCCCCAAAGCGGCCATGCCATCAGCAGTTTGGGCCTCGACGGGTCGGCGGATCTTGTCAGGACTCGCTCCTTTCCGCAGGGACTGTCTTGCGGACCGGAGACTTTGCAAGATGGGCCAGGACCTTAGAAGTGAGGTGTTTCACTTTGACAGGGTTTAGGGTTTAGGGTTTAGGGTTTAGGGTTTAGGGTTTAGGGTTTAGGGTTTAGGGTTTAGGGTTTAGGGTTTGATAGGTTAGTACTACAAGACCAAATCTCTGAAATGAGGCTGCAGGGTTAAGGCCGGCACCGAAATGTATGTGTCGGTTCTGCTTCCCGTCCCCTACATGTGGTGTTTGGGAATTTTGTGGCAGGCTTTAGAGTGAGTTGCTTTTGGCTGACAAGGAACCGCGGATGCTGTTTTGATGTTGGTGTTTTTTGGTTTGCCTTTTTTCGAAAGTCTTAGAGTACGCACCTCTACAAACAAGGGACATGAAGCTCTCTTGGTCAAAGTGACAGACAGCCTCTGCCCGAAGCCCCACTACTGCTGTACGTAGGGTTATCTGCAAGCATACGACACGGCTCGCCATGTGCAACCCCAATGAGAGCGAACACGAGGTTTTGCTGATTGCTATGCTGGCCATTGGCCAGCATACGCGGGCCATGGGCTTCGGTCATAGGCCCTACTCGTGTCGACACTGAGGTGTTGTTGAACGGGGACTTTCAGCTCCTCTGCCTGGGCCGGTGCGATCGCCAGGCACAGAACTACATGAGTTTGGTGTTGGGACCTTCGGCTGATCATGATTGTCCTAAAATCCAGCTCCATAGATTTTCGCATATCTGGCTGCTAGAAAGTTGTAGGGTTTAGGGTTTAGGGCCTTTCTTCAGGGTTGGGGTTCCCTTACAGTCCCCTGAAAACCCAAAAAGGGCACCCTTTCTATTCCTAGGTTACTTCTGGGTCTAGAGAATATATCAGGTAGGTCTTTGAGAGAAGGAGGCGAGATAGATAGGCTTGTGTTCTTGACATGTCTTCAAAACCTAAGTACCTTGTCTTGTCCTGTAGGAGTCGGAGGCGTTTCAGGTTCGGACTGTGTGATCGTACACAATGTATTTACTTGTGGGCGTCAGTACTGGAAGCCGAACAAGTTTTCACACCCTGTGCCCCCCCCCCTCCCCCGCCCAGCACCAAACAAGCAACTGCCACACAAAACACTGAACAGTCAAGTCTTGTTGCAGCGTTGTGGCGAACATGCGGCCCACGCGCCTACAGAAGATTTCGGGCGCCCGATGTGTTCCCGACATTTGCATCTGACAAGAGCATGTTTCGCAATATGCAGTGCTGACTCACGGCACGCCAACTGCATCGCCAGTGATGCCCAGTCGCCTTCGATCGATTTTGCCGCAACACGGCAAGAGAGCATTTGGACAAACCTTGCCCTGAAGCCAGATCTGCACGGCCGATCCCTTTCACGTATATAGACGCTTGAACTCACGTAAGATAGGGGTTGCGCATGCACAACATCCAACAGTGGAATGGTTGGGTTTCTGTTTGTAGGTGGGCGGCTGAATGTGCCCCCAGTGCGCAGAAGGGAGAGGCACCGGAACGGGACCCCCGCCGGAATGGAATGGGGACGACGGATCGGAACGCGGTGGGTTGCACAGTTGGGTTAACTTTCTAGAGCTCGTCAAGCGCTACATAAATGCTAGAACTAGCCCCCCCCCCCCCCCCACCCGCCATTGAAAAACTCTGAAGACAAACATCAACCTCATCCGAATGAAAGGTGAAGGTTCGTGGGCATCGTCTTGAACTGGCTGAGATCGAGTCTGTTCTCAAAAGCGAGGCTCATGTCCCACACGACTTTAAACACTTAAACAAGTTACAAAAGCTGCCTGGTGGTAGGTTTGGGGTTTGGGGTTTAAGGGTTAAGGGTTTAGGGCCAAGAGTGTTAAGGGTTAAAGGTTAAAGATTAAAGGTCCGAAATGCCTGCACGCGATCTGCACCTTAGACAAATACTGAGATGGGATATCCTGTCGTTTGGGATTACAGCTTTCGCTGATCATCCGACAGCCGAAGTTTTTTGCTAATAAGTACACCTGCAAGACTATCTGCATGCGGTTGTTGTGTACGTGTCGAATCTTTAAACGTCGAAGTCTAAACTCTACAAGAACCTAAGCCATCTAAGCACAAAACCTCTCCGCGCCCCAAAGCCTAAACCCTAAGCCCGAAACCCGAAACCGTAACCCTAAACCCTAAACCCTAAACCTCCTTTGCCATGATCAGGCCGAACGGATCCTTCAGAAGCAGCTGGAAACCGTAGTGCAGCTCGAGGGCGCCAAGCCTCAGCCAGGGGCTAAGGAGAGTTGGGGCGGCTGGGGGGGGGCATTTGGAGCTTGGGGGGGGTTTGCGAAAATAGGGGACTCCCAAAATCGACCCCCCAAATACTAGGATTCCCCTTTTAACAAGTGCCCCTAATCTCGGAAACCCCCGCTTTTGGGTTTCGGGCTTCGGTCTTCGAAGCTGCGTCTTCTCAGGCTTGGGCGGGCCGGCAGGGACGGAACGGCCAGCGCAGCTCCCACATTTGCATCTTCGACAAAGCAGCCTCCGAAAACTGACCACCCCCTGTCTTTGTGAATTGCAAATTTGTGGTCTTCAATCAACTCAAAAGCAGCAAGACGAACTTCAAGTATCTCCCTTAAAATGAGGCATCCAGCCCACAATGAATAAGACATGTGGCCATTCTTCCTTGGGTGTGGGGGGGGGAGGCAGCGCCTTAAGCCGATGGAGAGCCCCAAAGGGTCTGAACAACCGGTTTGCCCCACAACACATGACAGCCGAAAGGGCAATAGCCCCCCCAAAGCTTGTGAATCTCTCAACTGGAACCTACACAAAATCACAGAACGGCTCTCTCTGTCAATGGTGCCAAGGCAGCGGCTCATCGCATACGTTCGACCGCACAGACCTCAGGATTTCACGTAAGCTTCGAATGCAGGACTGGGATAGGGGAATGCCGGGGATAGGTTTTCGGCCCTTCTTGCCCTTGAAGGTCGATGGTACGGGTCGGAAAATCTATTGGACTGGGCAGGGGGGCAGGGTGTCAACCGCATCGCTAAGCAAGTACACATCGATCGGTGTCCACATTGGGGTCTTGCAGTTCCGAACAGGGCTCAGCACTGATCGAAGCTAGTTCAGCCTAAGCGTCCGCGCAATGGGGTCTTGCATGCAAATTGCTTCATTCCCAATACCGGAAGTCCCCGCATTGATTCTCTCTCTACGTTGGGGTTTTGCACTTCGGGCAGACGTAGCTGGCAGTGATCCAAGCTGGCACTGATGTCGGGTGTTTGTAGGGCTTCGAAGGCTTTGTGGATAAGCCCAGAACCCACTCCCAGAACTCCTAAGACCCCAACAGCGTCTGCTAGAGTCACTTCAGACACTCGGCGCCAGGGGCTACAAAAAAGGTGCCATTTTTCGGGATGCAATGTGCCCGAGATGACTCGAGGTACCTTCTTTATGCCACACACCTACGCCCCGAGCCCTAGCCCGCGAACTTCATTTCCTGTAAATCAGTGGTACCTTCCAAACCCGGCGTCAAGCGACCAAAATACTTCGACCAGCAGTGCTTTTGTTCATGAATGGCTCTGTGACTGTTGTGCCCAGGAGGCCCAGGAAGGTCGCAACCTGTCGTGAGAAAAACATCTCAACAAATAAAGACAAGACGCAGCCCAACATGCTCCCAAACCCGACCCGACCCAGAAGCCTGCTGCCCAAAACCGCAACCCACTTCTAGTGACTCCCAACAACTGAACACACATTGCACAGTTCTTACTGCCGCTTAGTAAAAAAAATCACCTGGAGATGTCGGAGGCAGCTACCCAACAATATCGAACATATTCCCTCTTTGAGTCTTTGAGGGTTCTTGACGCGTCCTGGTTGTGAAAACTCCCAACTCAGAGGCCCCTCTCCGGTCGCGACGCTGGGGCCCTGCTGGAGTCTTGCAACCGGCGCCTGCTTGTGCACGCGAGGCCTGCTTTGGGGAACAGGCTCGCCTTCGGCGATGCTTCGGCGAAGTGGTTTCGAAGTGGTTTTAGGGCATGAGGGCCCTCTAGGCTGTTGGGCTTCGATGGTTGGTGCGGGTGTGGGGAGGCTTTTGTTTTTTTTTTTGGGATGGCTGGGGTCGGAAAATCTTCTACCCGAGAAGCTTCGAGGGAGCTCGAAGGTTGCAGGGTCGGCTCTAGGGGCTTGACAGATTTCGTCTGGCTCCGAGCCCGCCAGCACGAACTCAGACGTGATGCCCCTGGCCCAATGCCCTTTTAACCTTAGATGTCTAGAAAGCGTGAAACCCAGGGGGCGGAAACCCAACTCCTACGTCGCACGCCCCAAAGATTCTCAACGCCCAAACACGAAGACTTGCTGTCCTTGCGACAACCCGAGGCTGTCCCAGGTGGTGGGGATTCCAGAGTGGCCCAGGACGAGCACCGGCAAGCTGGACCGCAAGGCAATGGTCGATTTCCACCACATGGCAAAGGTGAGGGAGAGGGCCAGAAGATCAAACCAACACAGCTTTCAGCAACTTGAGATTTGACCTGTGCCTCGACGTCATCATCCGTTTCGGCGTGGGGGGGAAAACGCTGTAGCAGGTGGGCAGTTGAGTAAAAGTCAAACGCGAGCACAGCTCCCGCAACGCACTGGGGGAGAATTACGAAGAAGCTGATGCACAAGGCTTAGACGCTTGGGCAATTGGGATCCACGGACTGCCCAAACCTGGGGCGCGCACTGCGCCGGGGGGTTCGCCCTCTAAGCCCGGCGCAGGAAAGAAAGAAAAGAGAAGGCAGCGACGACAACAGTATGATCTCTCAATTTGACTAGTTCCCTCCATGCTGTTGCTACTGTCTAGCTGTCTCTATCTATGTGTGAGTCTCTTTCCCTTCCTGTGCCACAAAGGGCTAAGCAAGAGACGAGGAAAGTCAGGGAGAAGCAAGACCCTATTTTCGGCTTTCGTGTCTAAAGCTTTCAGAAGTTTTGTTGCGGAAAAGGGGGATTGGAAGGGAGGAACATCAGGCAGAGGAGGGCAGCAGGTTGGAATCACTACCCGGATCTATGCCTACTTTCTGCTAAGCCCTGATGAAAGAACAACAACGCCTGAACGATAAGAAACTGCATTATTTGCCTAGTTGAGCAGGGCAGAAAGCGGAAGAGAGATCAAAGGATAGTGCAAACTGGCAAAAGGGACGAACTATAGAACTCAAGTGAAGCGGAGCCAAGTGCAACAGGCTTCCCGTCCCATGATCTTGGTCCAGCATCCTGTCTTCCAGAGCGGTCTCTTATGGAGGCTTTTGTGTTTTCGGGGGCTCATGTCTAGGATAAGGAGCTAACTACGTTAATCTATCCCCGCGAAGAAAATTGTAAACAAATATAAGCAAGGTAAGAGGAGCCGGAGGCGAAAGTTCTTCTTTTTCTGCCATCTCTTGCGCAAGACACGCGGCTACAAGACAAATACTACGCAAGCAGAGAACGCCAAAAACAAAACACGACAGCGGGGGGGGGGGGGGGGGGGGCGAGTGAGAGACAGACTTGGAGAATTCCGCGACTCGCAGTCATGATACATGAAGCTCAATAGAGGAAGAGACAGGAAACAAGACGTCACGTGTTCCTATCTTTGCTCTGGTTGTGTTGTTTTTCTATTCTCTCCCTCCTATCATGTTTTGTCGCTGCCCTTCCTCAAGAGATAGCACAATAAACGGCTCATCACTCCCATGTGACTTGTTATTTTCATGATGTTCCACCAGCCGTGTTCCTTTGAGACTGACACTGGTGACGTTGCCGTTGTCGAAGATGGGGAAGGAGTGGATGATTGAGAAAAGCGTATTCTACATATAAAATGTATATGTATATATATATATAAATATATATATATATATATATATTTATTTATTCATTTTTTCTTCATTTATATTTATTTGTTTATATTTATTTTTTGATTTTTTATATTTATATGTCATTGTTATTTGTATTTGTATTTGCATGTGTATTCGTATTCAGTAGATCGCATCTGTAGTAAAGGCATGGACATGTATGTGGAGTTCTAGGGATTCTAGGGCATACACCCAGCTGGCCCTTCTTTGGTTGTAAAGCCCACGTTCCAACAGAATTCCACCCCTTGCGGGATTTTGGCCGCAGAATCCAACTTCATAGGGGTTTAGGGTTTTGGGTTAAGGGAGGGTTCCGGGATCTTGGCCGCAGAATCCAACTATATCCAACTTCACAGGGCAAGGCTGCACGCTGCCGACCTCCGCAACCCTAAACAGAGTTGGTCCGCCATGGTGTCCTTTCACTTTCGCAGACACGTATATTGTTCTTTTGCGGCGCCCGATGGACATCCTCAGTCCAAAACCCGAAACTTCAACCCCAAAAAAGCACCAAAGCTGCACCGCAGTTGCTCTGTCCGCCGGCAGCACGGCCAAAAATGGGCCAGACCCCGCAGGCGCTGCGCCAAAGACGGAGAAAGAGTCATTTCAGAGTCATTTGGGGCTTGGGGCTGAGGATCTCGGGCCTATGGTGTGTAAGGAATTGGCTTGCCCGAGGATGTATTGGGTCTGAAGTCGCCAGACAAACATGTGCCATACAAAAGTCCGCGCGTTTAACGATTCTAACTTCCTGCGTTCTTACCACGTATAGTAAGAATGTGGTCACGGACCTCCTATTAAAGCGAGGGCTTTGTTTGCTCAGGGCCAAAGAGGACGGCCTTGTTGCAAACCCTCTGGCGCGTATCCAGGGCGTTTTGAGTTGAAACTAGTTGAAACCGCATCCCTAAACTACCCTAAGCGATGGCTTCGCTGGCCGGATATGGAGTGGATTGGATGTCAGTGTTTGACGGGCATATATCATACATCATTCAGTTGAACACTAGGAGCAGAATCTTGCTATCACAGTTTGGCGGGAACGCGCTAAAGATTTACAGTGCGACCTTCGGTGGGATAGGCTGTTGTCCCCGTAGTGATGTCAACAACGGTGCCAAAAATGTTGTCAGGTTCTCCGCGAAGGGACTGACCGCCGCTGGGTCGCCTGTGGAAACTGTATCTTCCACCTTTTTTCTAGCTTTGGGGCTACGGGTGGATGTATGTGGAGATCGCTGTTGGGTGTATATTGGGTTCAGCTCCCTGAACACAACACCCGAGGTCACGAATACTGACGCTCACTGGCCTGTTTCTGGTTGGAGGGTAGGCAAAAGCTCAACCTCCCATTATTTCTAAGTCAGACTCTGAGGTTTGCGAGACAGTCATCACCTTTGATCGATTCTGAATCTAGACATGCCCTCTAAACCCTGACACTGATAATCCAAATTGCAGCCTATTAAACCCCATTAAGCCCGGAACCTTTGAAATGTCGTCCGCTTCAAGCCGTTCAAGATCGACCCGCAACTCCCGAAACGCTAAGCCCTGTAAAACCCATTAGACCCTGCTAGGCCCTATGAACCCCATAAACCCTACTAAACCCTACTAATCCTAAGCCTATTAAACCCTATAAACCTGCAAATTTCAACAACAGGCTTCATAACCCTATAAACCCTAAGCCCTAAACCCCTAACCCTATAAACCCTAAACCCTTAACCCTAAACCCTAAACCCCTAAGCCTATTAAACTTTAGAAACCTGCAAATGTCACCAAACAGGCTTCATCATGCGGCCACCCCGGGCACCCACCTCGAGGCAGCGGCAGAAAGGCCCCCTGGGGAACGGAAGAGATGCCAAGTGGGGTGTTCCGGAAGACATGCGAGGGTTTAGGGTTTATAGGGTTTATAGGGTTTATAGGGTTTATAGGGTTTATAGGGTTTATAGGGTTTATAGGGTTTATAGGGTTTATAGGGTTTATAGGGTTTATAGGGTTTATGGGGTTTATAGGGTTTATGGGGTTTATGGGGTTTATAGGGTTTGTAGGTTTATAGGGTTTATAGGTTTTATAGGGTTTATAGGGTTTATAGGGTTTATAGGGTTTATAGGGTTTACAAGGTTTATAGGGTTTAGGCTTTAGGGTTTAGGGTTAGGGTTTAGGGTTTAGGGATTGCGGTGTAGGGCTTAGGGTTTAGGACCGGTTTGGGAAGCAGGTTAAGGGACATGGGGAAACCAGGAAGCAACACAAACTGGTGTACAGATCTTTGTCATGAAGATCGACGTAAGCAAAGGTAGCGACGCCTTGATCACAAAGCGGAGACGCAAATCACAAAGCATGATGACAAAGCAAGCCCTGGGCCACGTTCACAGAACAGCAGGCCTCTTTCGCGAAACCCTTTACGTTGTTATTCTTAGTTTGATTTTGAGGACGTTTATGTTCTGATCAAGGCCCCAGGGCCAGAACTCTCACTGTTTTGCGAGCAGGCCCCTGCTTATTACGATCTTGTCTGGAGATCTGGGCCTTAGCAATACGATCAACTTGCTGAGAGTGAGGCCAAAGAGCAATCCTTACTGTTCGCTGAGCAGGCAAGGACCTGCATGTGGATTCTATTGCTTAACGAGGTCAACATTTTTACACAATGTTGAAAGGCGCGGCCCTACACCCAATCGCAGAGCCTAAATTCTGCAGGTTGGCAAGTCGTGCGTGCGGTGGTTGCTGGGGCTCTGGCTTGTCGCCTCCGTCCTTTCCGTATGCCGGGGCCTTGGATGGGAAGTGTCCTCCGTTGAACCTTTGAAAGTGCAACTTTCATTGCTTAGAATACACAGTGTGGTCTAGCTACCAGACCTTGCTGGAGCCAGAGCGCCCTAGCACACAATGCAGCCCCTTCGCCTTTCCTGCACACTCACTAGGGCATTCTGGCACCTGCAAAAACCGACTTAACCCCTACACAATTCTTAACAGCCCCCCCCCCCCCCCGATTTCACCCACCCCAGGTGATAGGAGGGTACAAGACTCTCAGCACAACTGTCAGTCTTGCCGAGTCTTGCCCCCTCTCTCAGGATTTGCTGGCCCTTGGCGTGGATCTCATGGATCCGCCTCCTTGCACCTCTGGCCTCGATTGATGCAAGGGGGGTTGGGGGGGCCATCGCTCTAAATGAAAACTGAGTCTCCAAGTAACTGTCGTAGTTTGAAGTCTGGAGAGCAAAGCAGTCTGGACATGAAGAGGCAGTATGGACATGAAAAATAGACGATTAGGACGAGGGCGTGTGGTGTGGCTGTAGCCGCGTGGCTGTCGCCGAACTAGCACAACCAAGGCCCCCCGATCATCGGAAAGTCTCTTTGGGCAGGATTGCAGCTCGTGCCGATCCCAGTTGCACAGCCCCCTCCCCCAAACACCCCAAAACCATCACCCAAACCCTAAGCCCTGCACCCCCAGAACCTTAAATTATGAACCCTAAACCGGGGCCCTGACCATGGCGGGAAATGCGGGTGTGCGCCATGGGGAGAGAATTGTTCTAGATTCTAGATTGTTAGACTGTCGGCCTTGAAAGTCGAAACCCCAACGTGCCTACGCATTGCAATAAGCGAGGCGTGCCCCATGGCTTGCCAGCTTACTGGTGACAGCCCTCCAGCTGGGGCCTCGGATTCCGGCCGGATTGGGCACTTGCTGCACGTGTTTTGTGTCTCTCTGTGTGTGGGACAACCCATGTTCACGCGGGACTTTGTGCAAGCAATTTCTGCAGGGGGCAGAGCCCTGTCCTGGATGCCTGTGCCAACGAAGCTATTCCAAGACAGGGGACCGGGTGGTCTTTTTCAACCACCTGTACTTGAAAAAAGATGGCCTACACCAAATGCACCCAATAAAATTTTAAAAGGAGCCTGTCTGAATTGACATTGGGCTTGAAAAACAGGTTGGCAGATGTTGGCATCGCACGCCCCAAGCACCACACAGATGCAAAGAGGGGCGTCTCTGCTCAGATTTCAGGGCCTCGACGTGCTGAGGCCATGGCAGCTCATGCTGCTCTCTGCTGCCTTCGCGAGTTGGAAGGCCCTTTGTTTCGGCCACAAGCCCTAGAGGTCCTAGAAGGTTGGAAGGTTTAGTGCATGGGTGTTGTGTTGGTCTGAGTTCGCAGTTCAAAAGCTGCTGTACATGCGGATTTCAGGTGTGCTTGCCTTTAGAACCGGTTTGACATTTAGCAGAACTACGTTCTCGTAGTGGTGCGATAGAAACTGAAGGTGATTGTGCTCATCTGGGTGGCCAACATTTGACCTAGGCCCACGGCAGATACCCCTGCTGCAAAATCTATCATCTCCACCTAGCTCACTAACCGCTAAACCGGATGCCGGCAAGTAGCGTTTTGAAGCAAGGTATCTGGGTACGGTTTTAGGGCTCGCTCTAGCTTTCCCAGCTCGGCTTGCGGCGTGCGCTGACCACTCCAGTGCTGTGGTGGCTAGGCCTGTGCCCTGCCAGGAGTTGGACTCGAGTTGGGTTCTATAATATTCTGGCATCGGGGGTCGGGCATAGTTGCATAACGGTTGCTTGGTTGCTCCATTTGGGGGCATCCATGGTGCCTCTGACCAGGTCGTTAGCATGCTGGGCTAGGTTGCTGCAGCTTCAAAGTACCACCGCTACGACCTTCTACTACCTACCACTGCCTATTCCTACCCTTGGCTACTACTCCTACCGGCTGGTACTGGGGACGTCTGTTGTATCTTTTTTCATCATTCTGTGCGAAACAGGCATTTTCCTTTGCGTGCTTCTTCTTCTTCTTCTTATTATTATTATTTTTCTTCTTGTTCTTGTTATTGTTCTTGTTCTTGTTCTTGTTCTTGTTCTTGTTCTTGTTCTTGTTCTTGTTCTTGTTCTTGTTCTTGTTCTTGTTCTTGTTCTTGTTCTTGTTCTGCTTCTTCAGGTTCTCAAAAAGCTGGTTCTTTCCCTCTCTCTGGCCCTGCCTCCTGCTGGTTTCAGTGGGGTGGGAGGAAGCGGGGGGCGTGGGGCAGAAAGGCCTGTGCAGGCATCTTGCGATTGCTATGCTCAGAGTTTCAGATTTCTCCTGGTCATCTCATCCGGGGGGATTCAGGGGGTACAGCCGAAGATGCTGCTGCGGGGATTGGTGGGATTTGACAAGCAAAAGCTCGAAACCCTAAACCCTCAACCCTGAATCGAACCCAGGAGCAACACCGACGGCCAACTCTGCCGGGAGCTGGAGTGGTACAGCCGCTAAGTCTGGACTTATGCATGCGAGTAATCACACAAGTGATTTTGACGCTACGCGACCCGCCTCGGCCCGGCCCAGCGCATCCGCGTGAGCATGGTGATTCCGCAGCGCCCAAGTCGTTGGACCCCAAGCAATAAGGGTTGGGTTTAGGGTTTAGGGTTCCGGGTTCATGGTTTGGGGTTTAGGGTTGAGGGTTAGTTTAGGATTGAGTTGGGGTTTAGGGTTTTTTTGGGTTTAGGGTTCAAGAGACGGTTCGGCTTGGATTGATCGTAGGGTTGAGCCAGGCCCCTGAGGGGGGGGTAGGGGGGGAATGAAGGGGGAGGGTTGAATTTGAGGGTCTTAGACTCTTAGACTCTTCGGCTCCTTCGAAAAAGGTAGGGGGTGGGGGGGTGTGGGGGAGTTATGGGGGGCGGGGGAGTGGTGGGAGTGGGGGGAGAGGGGGGGAGGGGGGAGGGGGGAGTGGGGGGAGGGGGGAGCGGGGTAGGGGGGGGGGGGGGGGGGGGGGGGGGGGGAAAACGTCCGCTTGCGGACCCCGGTTTCCTAGCGGAGGCAAAAAAAACCGTGGCCGGAGGCATGTGGGGGTTTTTGGGGGCTGAGTGGGGTTGGGGGGAGTGGTTTGGGAGGCATGTGGGGGTTGGGTGGGAGATGGTGCGAGGAAAGGGGCGGGTGGGGGGGTGGGTGGGGGGGTCCGGGTGTCTATCAAGCCTTCATAGCCAGCGATCAGGATCACTTACACAGAGGACTACCGATGACAGCGGAGATTGCAGATTGTGGGCCTCGGTGGCGTTCTTGGATATTTCTTGATCAGAGTTTTGAGTGGGCAGGTCACTGCGATGTGAGGCTACTCGAAGACTATAAGCATACTACAAAAGCCACCGAGATCGGATGCGTACAGCGTCCGCAAAGCTTCCTTTCCATTTAGGGGCTGAGGTTCATGAGGAGGCTCGAAACAACAGAGCGATGTAGATTCAAACATGTTTGAAACTGCCATACCATTCGTGAATCCGTCGAGAATGCAAGAAGGTAGTTAGGCGGGACACTGCAGCACCTGACGGTTTGTTTGCAGGATGCTTGTTTAGAGATGCCAGTGGGACATTGAATGGAAGCAATAACTAAACACACAATGCTAGCTAGGTTGGTATGTGCATCCACTTCGAGTGCGGGAGCTGATGTGCCAGGGCCGAAAGGTGTTTGACGGTTTTTGTGCTTGAGTGTTCGGTTCTGGGACATTGAGGTTCTTGGACTGGGGTGCGCACGTAGCGTGGGACTGGGAGCCCCCGTGTCAAGCCACTGCCATGTCCTAGCCAACTTCTTGGAGTAGGGAGGGATCGTCTTAAACCCTTTGCAACCTGCTCGGAAACAAAAGAGTCAGCAGCTCAGGTGCCAGGTGTCGTAAGCCCTGAATTCTGAAGCGGTTGAAAAACCTAAACCCTAAACCCTAAACCCTACAACCCTAAACCCTACAACCCTAAACCCTAATTCCAGCATCTGAAGCCCAGAGTTGTTAGTGCAGTTTCGAGTCGGCCTGTGCCTTCATCGCCCAGCCATTGAACCCTAAACCCTAGACCCTAAACCTTTAACCCTAAACCCTAAAACCCCACACAAGCCCTTCCCTTCAGGAGGCTGCTGGCAGAAGCCACCCTCCGCCTCTTGCGTGGCGACTTCTTCCTGGCCCGCGGCAAGCGCCCGGCGGACGCTTGGGGACGCGAATGGGTGGAACCTACAGAGTTTCAACGATTTTGCATTTGTTTTCTCGGGGCCCCAAAGTGCCCAGATAGGGAAGTGTTTTATTTTAAGGCCCAAGTACTCCCTATTTAGCTACATGGACCCTTAGGGCAGCATCGGCAATCCTAAACCCTAAACCCTAAACACTAAAACCCTAAACCCTAACCCTAAACCCTAAACCCTAAACCCTAATGCTGAGGACTGGGATTGGGACGTTGCACCCCGCCGGCCGCGACGGCGGCCCCGGCTTCTGGGTGTCAAAACGCTTGGGTAGCCTATATCCCCCTCAGGGGTGGGGTTTAGGGTTTAGGGTTTAGGGTTTAGGGTTTAGGGTTTAGGGTTTAGGGTTTAGGGTTTAGGGTTTAGGGTTTAGGGTTTAGGGTTTAGGGTTTAGGGTTTAGGGTTTAGGGTTTAGGGTTTAGGGTTTAGGGTTATTAAGGTTCTAAGGTGAGTCTAGTAGAGGTGCTCACGGGAAAAAGCTTGTGCCCGGGCTTTAGGTTTGGGCTTGGGGACCACGTTCACATGTTTCAAGCCACCCAAAATGCAGGTCCTGCCAGCAACTCTAGACTCTAGGGCCCACCAACCCCAAACCCACTGAGCACTGAGCATCCTACCTCTGCTCTGCGCAAGCTCGGTATTTCATACGAGCCGTACGAACCTTAAACGACGCGCACAGCACGTGCGCATGGACGATGCGTACGCGGAGCCGGAAACATCGAGACCTGCCATGTTTGCATTGTGCTTACTCGGACTCAGAAGCTGATGGCTTATCGGCCGACTTGCGGGGTGCATGTGAGGGTGTCTTTACCCTAACCCTAAACCCTAAACCCTAAACCCTAAACCCTAAACCCTAAACCCTAAACCCTAAACCCTAAACCCTAAACCCTAAACCCTAAACCCTAAACCAAGGCTGGAGTACGTTTGGGTGGAGGCGACTGCGGCTGAGGCTGAGGTCACGGAGACCCCAGGGCGGTCGCGAGGTGATCTAACCCACTCACACCAGCAACTCCTGGAGCTGTTGGACCAGGAGCTGGGCCCAGGGAATGTCAGGGTTTAGGGCTTAGGGGTTTAGGGTTTAGGGTTTAGGGTGTAGGGTTTAGGGTTTAGGGTTTAGGGTTTAGGGTTTAGGGTTTAGGGTTTAGGGTTTAGGCATGGGTGACTTCGGAGTAACGTCCGACCGGACAAGCTTCTCTTGATCATGCTCGCTTGATGCCTTTCACTGGCCACCTGGGCCTCAAGTTCAAGATGCTGGTTTGCGCCCCCTAAACCCTAAACCCTAAACCCTCAAGTTTCAAAACAGACGTTCACCAACTGTCCGAATCTGGGCCTCAAAGAAAGAAAGAAGGCTTTACTTCAACGCCCCGGCCTCAAGTTCAAGGCATGCTTCATATTTTTTGTGTTGGCTCCTGTGCCTGAAGGTGTGTCACAAGATGGCGCAAGCTTTACGCTGTGTTGCCTTCAGCCGAGCCCGAAACAAGTTGCAAAAGTTTTCGTCTCCTCTTGGCGTGAGCCCGGGGTCTGAAGTTGAAGGTTTAGGGTTTAAGGGTTAAGGGTTCAGGGTTTAGGGTTATTAGGGTTTAGGGAACCCTGCGAACCGAATTACATCCGGGTCCCGAGTTGCACATGTTGGCTCTTACAATTGGCCCTTCACAACCTTTGCCTCGAATCTCTACTGCACCACTACACCATAGTCCTCCTAAACCCTAACCCTAAACCCTAAACCCTAAACCCTAAACCCTAAACCCTAAACCCTAAACCCTAAACCCTAAACCCTAAACCCTAAACCCTAAACCCTAAACCCTAAACCCTAAACCCTAAACCCTGACCAGGAAGCAGGAGCCCAACTTACACCGGACATGGCGCTGGCGTCTGCCTTCGACTCACTGAGGCTCACCTCCCTTGTGGGATCCTTGCGGCGCAAGCAGGCGCCGCACCTTCGTCATAGTTGGGCAACATTTTACATGTTTAAGGGTACTTAAACCCAATAAGGAGTAAAAAAATAGATTTTTAACACCATCCCAACCATGAACTAGGAACCTCTCCTTGAGGGATGCGCTTGCTTGCGACACCGTCCTGGACTTCATGACGCTGGTGGCCGATGGGCGGAATGCAGATCCATCCAGCAAATCCGATCGGCCAGCAGAGCCGGTTGACTGTAAAAGTTTCCGCGTGCGGGAGTGGCCCTACATGTTCTCACTATCTGTTTGTTGGGCCCTGGAGTCACGGTCAGCTGTGAACAAAGCAGCGCTCGTGCGTGCGCTGCAGAGGTTGAAGAAGAAGCACGGTGCCCTAGGTGTTCATCTTGCAGACCCACCTGCTTTGTGGGATTTTGCCATGGAAGCTGCATCGAACTTGTCCTTCTCTCGGGCGATGCTGCTCAGTGGCAGTGTCTCGCACCAAAGCAGGCAGCCTACACGTTTGGCCAGGATATTGGACTCTGTTGGCTCTGTCTTGTGGGCAGCATGGCCTCGCCTCGAGCATGCTGAGGGAGACTCAGTTGACGTGCCTTTGGAGGTTGTTCGATGCGAAAGTAGCCAGCAGCTCGAGATGCGGTCGGCTTGGCTATTGGATGGGCGCAACGCACGCCAGTTCCTCACGGGGCCCATGCACGCCGTGTTGCTGGAGCTGCCCGGAACAAGTGGCGAACCCGAAATGGCCCGGCTACATATTGCCGTGAGCCACGGACTGTCCGATGGCTTTTCTGGGATGCCTTTGTTGCAGGACTTCGTCCGCTTCTACGAAGTCGAGCTCACAGGCTCCGAAGGAGGTAAGCATGAAGTGAGGTTGCAGACCTGCGGGCAGAGCTCAGAATGCTGACACATGGTATCTGCCCCTAAGTACCTTCTTTGAATCAGCTTGCAGCCATGCGCATCTGAAATTTCTGCACAACGTGTAGCCTGACACAAAGCCCCTCAAAACTAGCATCAACACCTACCAGGCGAGGCTGTCCAGGAGACTGTTGAAGATGCCTTCTGCGGCCTCGCGTCGCAGGAATCACGGCTTCATGACACATTGGATTCCTGGCGATGTTTTCTCAGTCTTTTTTTAGGTGGGTACAGCCTGTTGTGTACAGAGTTTCAGGATTCTCTACGGGTTTACTCGAGTGAAGGTTTGTTGTTGTCGGCCAGGCCTCAGCAACTTGCAGTAGAAATATGTAGTGGCCATTGGCAAACGAGGTCGAACAGGTGGCGCAGCAGTAGAAGCCCACAGCCACGCCAGGGAGGGACGGGCATGTAGTATCAAATAGCCTTCATTATCTCCTTCTACATTAATTAAAGTGGCCTGAAGCGATCGTCTACATAAAGCACTGTGGTCTGCAAGTGAGGTCAGAAGGAGCCGCGGTTCCGCAGACAACCAGGCCGACTTGGCTAGTTGGGCGTTGCCCGCCACGGGGACTGATGCCTTCGACCACTTCGTGTGGTTGCAGCCAGCGCGCCTGAGCTGCCAATCTACTAAGGACTAAGCACTGTCCAGAATTGCAGGTTGGAATAATCTACGGTCGATATATCCACCTGGACCCCAATTAGCTTACTGTTGACAACAACCCTCGGCAGAAATGGCCCGTCGTCGCTCGGAAAGTTTCTGCATGTGGACTTGCCATATTTGTTAACTTATGGAACTTCGTTGTTTTCAAGACCACTTCCGCCAGAATACGAAGCATTGGAGGGTTAGTTATCTGGCATGGACGCCAAGTCCCCTGACCAAGGGCGATGGCAACACTCCAGACCCTGGTCGTGCAGCGGAGATGGCACTGCAGCTTGGATGTGGCAGCTTCTTGGCTCATTGCAAGAACATGCGGCCAGTCCTCTAAAATTATGGTCAAAATTTTGGGTGCCCTAAATAACCGGGGCCGCCTTGTCATAAGGACCCCAAACAGGGACCCTACTTTCGAGAAATCGCCATTTCAAGCCGCTGTAGACCTCAAGGCTGAACTTGAGCACTATACAACCAAGGTTCTGGCACTGATCGGAGGGGCCCTCGCCCGGATGCACCCGAAGGGCTTCCTACACCTGCGCTTTGTTGCATCTGCCAGGGATGCCCCCGGCGAAGGAAGTGTCGTCGCCGATCTCGCGGACTCAAGGGACTTGGACCTTGCCCTATCAGGGACATCCGTTGAGGAGGCCGTGCATATGATAGCATCCTGCGTCCGTCACCGGCGATGGCGCCTCCCTGATGCCCTAACCGACGCGGAGGAGCGTGTGTACATCAACGTGCGGCCGCTTCTTCAAGGTGTGGGCTCGTCGTCCTGGCATCACACCACCCAGTGGCCGCCGGTCCAAGGCGAGTGGAACTGGGATCGCCGGAACGTGTACCATGCCTTGTGGATCATGGCCGACCAGGTGAGCGGGGTCCGGGCGAGCCAGGATTCGAGATATACTTAGAATGTCTTCCAGCACGTTGGGCTTTTGGGGCCTGAAGATGTCTGAGGGCCGTTGAGGGATGGTGGGCGTAGTAATGTCTAGTACTTGTAGCAGTTGTGTATACATGGGTGTCTTCCGGTATGTTGCATTCAGGGAATCAGGGCTTTCGCATATGAACTGAGCTGCTGACAAGAACCACTGGCACGGCTTCCTGTCGCCCACGAATCGCAGGTTCCTTGCGCAAACAGCAGGTTCCAAGGTATTGCAGGCTCGACCACCCTAAACCCTAAAACCCCAAACCCTAAAACCCTAGACCCTAAAACCCAATGCTTAAACTATGCCTAGCCCGGAATCGCCACCGAAGGCTTCACGAGGAACTCAACCCTAAGAAGCCCTCTCGTGCTTTGCAACTGCTGGCGTTTTAGGTTCGTGGAGCCCCCTCTTGAGTGTTGTGAGGCCTCAAACCTCAAACCCTGGTGTCCTCAACCGACTATATGTACATCCGATTCCCAGTGAACATATTCCCTTTAGACGCGCGCTCCGCTTCTTTCTTCAGGTGGGGCCACTCGAGTGGGTACTTTGCCTCAAGGTCCGGAGCTTTGCTGCAGGTAGGACCAACCCCCCCACCCACTGCCACCCATTGCACCAGTGCATTCATGGGTAGTGGGAGGGGTGGAGGGAGTAAACTACAACCGCCATGCCCATCTAACGAATTTCATTGAACATTGCGTCGCAGGTACGGAATTCCCAGCATGAAGCTTCGCGCCTTGGCGAGGCGCCTTGATGGGCTCATGCTTGTCATACCTGAGAGCAACAACGTTGTACAGTACGGTGGGTTTGAAAGAAATGGATTGCGCGTTGATGGTTGAGTATTGCGTATGCAGATACGCCTCTCCCCCGAAAAACGACGCAATAGCAACTCCCTATAGCCCTATAGCCGCGACTCAAACCTTACCTGCAGATTTAACAGAAATGATGCCTTCACGAGCAACAAGCAAGCCGCGGCTGATTCAGGTGCTTAAGGCCCTTCTTCAGGATCCCGGACTGCACCAAGCAGAGCTGTTTTATGTGCAGTTTTGGGGCTTTCGGGGCTAGACACAAAGCTTGTATGAGCATGAGTGCGTGTCAGAAACAGCGTCAAGCCTTCGGTATATGAGTTTACTCAAAGCGCGTCCAAAGACTAAGAAACTGTAATTGTAAAGCAGCGCTGGCAACCCCCCGGTGTGAGTTTCTTGGCCACACCAATTCTAGGCTTGAGGATTTCAACTTGAGTCGACACGGTCTCTTGGGAGCATTTTGAATCCAAACGCTGCTCTCACCCAGGCATGGCAAGCGTCGATTGCATTGAAAGAACCTAAGATTTTCCGCTGAGGGTGTCAAATCGCGCTCTCGCCTCGTGTCACGATGATGTGGCAAGTGGCAGGGGCATAACCTTTCTGCTTTGTTAAAGTGTTCCAATAGCTCATAGCTCCTGTCAGCCTCCCGAGCTCCTCACGAAGTTGAGAAGCGTCAGTCTGCAAGTCGCGCACAAGCCACGTGCGCACACTCCTGGCGAAGCATTGAGCGTTGAGTATCGTTGAGTCAGGGCCAGTGGCACTTGCGATTGTATGTATGGCTCGGCTTTGCAGCACTACACCCAGCCAAGGATCTGCAGTCCAGGCCACACACCCCACTGCTCGAGGGCTAGCCTACGTCATTTCTCGATTGCCCCATGCACGATCTGATGCAGCTGACATCTTCTGACACCCTTGTGGATCTGCCTCGGCAACCTTTCGCGGGACCAGGAATTGAAGATTCGACGTCGCATGGCGATGGCTTTCCAATTGAGGCTGTCTAGAAGTGATTGCTCCGAGCAAGAACACGAGCTTGGCGTGGAGTTGACTTCGAGGACATGCTGTACCAAGTCTGCGAAAAGTTGCACCAGGACGCGATGCACAATTGTCGTGCGAGCAGTCGCGAGCTACAGAACGACATGCGGAGTGGCAAAGCGTAAGGGCCAGTCCCATGGCCTTTGATGCTCTGCCATGGTAGTGGCTTGCCGTGCCTCATTTTGCATGAGGACTTGAGGCAGGTGATATCCAGTCCGCCTAGCAGCTGCAAACCTGCGACCAAAGACTCTGCACTGCTGGTGTGCGTTGCAAGTGCTCCTTTGGGGCGTTGGAGCTTTTGGAGCCATATTAGCAAACGGTTCCATCAACACGAGCATTCAGGCGCAAAGGTCCCCAAGCAAATTTTGTCTCAAATGTGCAAGCCCAAGCCTTCATCGAGCTGTAGAACCCTGCAGGTTCAATCCGACTCCCCATTCCCGAACCAGATCTAAGCCCATCCTGAACCGATGTAAGTACTGCAGCCTTGCCTTCAGTGATACACCCTTCAAAAAACAGGACATGCCGGTTTCTTCAGGGGTGTTGTTCGGTTGCAGCCGAGTGTTCCACCTGGACCCAGGTCATGTTAGAGTCGTGGCTACAGTCTTGGATTTGGGGACACACATTTTCAAGGCTTTGGTCTTCATGCGTTCCAGTAGTAGTAGGAGTAGGAGTAGGAGTAGGAGTAGTAGTAGTAGTAGTAGTAGTAGTAGTAGTAGTAGTAGTAGTAGTAGTAGTAGTAGTAGTAGTAGTAGTAGTAGTACTTTGGAGATGCAGATTGGGTCTCCCTTGTGTTCATGTCGTGGCCTTGGTGGTTCTAGTCCCATCGGCTCAATGCCATAGGTGTCTGACCATCGGTTCGCTGACGCCGAATAGATGGAAACGCTGATTATGTCAGCTATTTTGTGGTATATACCTTACAGGAAACTAACATCTTACGCCCGATGCAACTCAGCGTCCCTTGTCTGCAGGGCATGTGAGCCCCGACTGCAATGGCCCCCGTGAAAGGCAGCGAAGTTGCTTAGCCACCAGGGCTCTCGTCGCGCCATGGGTCGCGGATATCTAGACTGACTGCATGCAGTGCTTTCCTTCCATCGCCTTGCTGGTGGCATGTTGCCCTGATGCCACACTGATGCACCCGCGAGAGCATGGCTGTCCTGACGCCAGGTCGGCACGTGTCCAGAACCGTTTTAGCCAGATTTCCCCGCCTCCAACTCCAAAACATCGGGGTGCTTGTAGTCAAAGAACTCTAGATACAAGCACGGGGTACTTAGCTAGATTGGGTGGGGTAGTCTGGGTTGAACATGTTTCATCTTGTTTCTAAGTTCCGGCTGGGGGGCGCGGGCCGCTCCGCCCAGATTTTGCGGCAGGGACATTGTTCTGCATGCTGTGGTTGTGACATTCTAGTGGATTCAGGATCCAGCGACTGACGATCTGAGTCCAGTCTTCGCGCGTCGTGCAAACTAAGGAACAGTACGCGACTATGCGCGAAGGCTGTTGCCAGGTCAGTGTCGTCAGCGCCGTTCTCAAGGCCTTGGGTACACTGTCGCCTGTGGATTTGGCACGTTTATCACGGTCAGAGGAAGACTATCGTCAGAGCAACTCTGCTGATTCAGACCCTGGGACTCACGTAGCTCATGTGGGCTTCAGGGACAAAGCGAAGTCACTACCGTACCGTACGGCGTATAAATCCTTGCAGTACCATGACCCACTGCACTCTTCGTGCGTGTTCTTCACCGCCTGGCTCTGTTCGTATACTGTCCTGAGAAGCGTTTCAACAGAAGGTCCTGTTGAAGCAGTCGAAATCATTCTGACCGCAGCTAGGATACAATGTCATGCACAATTCTGTCCTTACAGCACTCGTGGCTTGTGCGCATGTAGCATCCTTTGCACAGGGTCCGCGTATCAAACCCAGGCCACAGGTTTTAGAAGATATTCTTCCAGGAACGGCCTGGAGAAAAGTCGACTGATGGGACCCGTGTAACATCGTGTAATCCTTGCGGTAGGGGACTTGGACATGCTAGGGCTCTAGGCTCAACAGCTGAAGCGAGAGGCTTGGGGTTTGAGGTGGGGCTCAGAGTTGCATGCCAAGATCTTGACGGCATCGCCGGCCTCATGCGGACCTACCTCCTGGACAGTGACCACAGCAGCTGGCCCGAGCTCAAGGGGGGGGGGGGGGGAGGGGGGGGCAGAAGAGGATGGGGCACCTGGGCTCTCTACGAGTCCTCACCACATCTAGAAGTGGCCTCCAGCCTTAGGTGGGTTTACGTGCAGTCAGGTTCAGTGGAGTTAGACTTCGGAGAGCCACTTTCCAAAGGGATGCGAGGGGTTTGTGGGAGAAAACCTGCAGCTGTGCGGTGCTTTCCCTTTTTTTTTTCGGACCTACCTGCACCATCCCTATAAGGCCCTTAAGCTGAGCCTCTGTCACTTCAGGTCTTTTCGGGTTAGCACGGTGTAGAGTTTTAGGGTTTATGTAGATCTTTGGGGGTCCATGCGGTTTAGACCTCTTCGGGCTTAGAAAGGGTGAGAACTGTGAGGGGTTTAGTGTCATCCCGCGTCCCACGTCCTCGGCGCAGCCGGTCGCAACACAATGGTTGTATGGGTGGGTTGAGGAAGGGTGAATATATGTATATATGTATGTATTTATACATCTATATATATATATATGTATATATATATATATTCATATATGTATACTGTATGTGCTGTGGTTTAAAATGCCAGTACCCCTCACAAGGACCGATAAATACACTCACCAATATTTTGGATGGAGCCAAAAGAACACTCACCAAAAGCCAGAATGAACACTCACCACGTAGGGGTTTTGAGGCAGTTGCATTTGAGGGCATGATGTCCTGCATGGCAAGCCTTGCAAGATGTCACGGAGCAGGTTTAGAGCGCTCGAGTTGAGGGTGTATGCTCGTATTATTGCTGCAGCAACTCCTTTCCATGGCATGAGATCTTAAAAAGAAGCCGGGTTCGGGGCGGGGGTGGGGGTGGGGGGCAGCATCTGCAAACACAATGCTTATAAATGACCTGGCCCGGGCCCACGCCTGCACAAGCAAACAACGACATCCCCGTACATTGGGTCGCAGCGTGGTAAGGGAACCCCACCCACCAGATTGCAGACCTCCATGTTCAATCGTCATCACATCAAACCGTTTTCCTTGCTGCTAGAGGCGCTGTGTTTTCCTTCGGGCTCCGTGTTCAAGGTCACAAGGCCAAGAAGCATCAACTGTGCTGGATTGGGAGTTGTCCGTCAACCCTTTGCACTGGAGAGCAGTGCTGGCCGGTTTGACCGTTGTCTCCCGGCCGATGGATTGCTTCAAAGTTCAACGTGCTGGTCTTCAAACCTAACTTGTCGCACGCGCCGGAGGAACGGGAGAGCTCTGTGTGCCAGAGTATGCCCTTCCCTGCCTTCCCTGCTCACGCGTCCGTAAATCCTGCTCTCCTTATCCTGGCCCCCACTAAGCCCATCAAGCTGCCCAAGCTGCTATGTACCTCAGTCGCTTAAACTCCCATCGCCCGATTTTTACGCATCGATTGGCGTGCTCATTGGAAACTGCATTTTCCAGGGCATATCTCTTGATGTTTCGAAGTCGGCCTCCTCGTCATTTACACAGCGTCTACATGGTCTTTGGCAGGTTGTCAGTGCTTAAAACCGTAGACCCTAAGCCCAGTGGGTCTGAGCCAGATGATCTTGTTCCTCGACTCCACTCTGCCTCTTCAAATATTCTATAAGTCGTCCAATCTTCGTTTATTGAGGGAGCAAAGTTGAGAGGTTGTTTAAGGGGGATCGAGGGCTTCAGAGCCCGGGGTTGAACGCAAGGCAGTGTGGATGCTTGGCGCCTTTTCACCTCGGCCTCTGCGCGTACTGCTCTAATAGCCGTGGACGCGCTGAAGGACCGCTTCGCCACGTGGCAGATTTTTCTTGTGCTGGCGTGAGAGTCTAGATTCTTTCGGTTCGACAACTTTTTCTGCACAGCCTTTGTGGCTCGGTGCGTGGGCGAGTCGATGCATGGGTGGCTGATTGCAAGCGTGTGCGTGTGTGGGTGTGTGTGTGTGTGTGCATGTGCGTGCACGTGTATGCATGTGCGTGCGCGTGCGTATGCGTGCGTAGGTGCGTTGGTACGTGGGTGCGTGGGTGCGTGGGTGCGTGGGCGCGTGGGCGCGTGGGCGCGTGGGCGCGTGGGGCCGTGGGTGCGTGGTTTGTGGGTGCGTGGGTGCGTGGGTGCGTGGGCGCGTGGGCGCGTGGTTTGTGGGTGCGTGTGCGCGTGGGTGCGTCGGCGCGTGGGCGCGTGGGTGCGTGGTTGCGTGGGTGAGCGCGCGCAAGTGCGTGTGCGTGTTCTCGTGCGTGTGGGTGTGGGTGTCTGTGCGTGTGTGCGCACGTTCCTTTGTAACGTCCAGATGCGCAAACGAACCATGCGGACTATGAAGACTTCATAGTCCCATCCAATCTCACATTAAACCATTCTCAGCTGAATGCCGATCATGCCGTGCCCTCGTGCCGAGGTCAAGCTGCAAACCCTGCAGGACTTATCACATGAGTCAGAGGGCTCTGGCACCGTTGAATGTGTCATTTCTCGCGGGTTGATCGGGCAGGTGGCGTTAAAGGCTTTAATGCAAAAACAAAACTGTTTACATAAACGAGTGTGGAGAGTGGAGGGGCCCAGTCGTTGGCGGCTGTCCTGTAATGTGTATACTGCAGTGTATTCTTTGTAAGTCAGCATGCACTCCGCTGGTCCTTCCTCTTGTTCCGCCTGGTACTTCACATACAAGGCGAGAAACATGCGAAGGGTTTTCGCACCAGATGCTCCTGCAATCACAGGACTTTTCATACTTTCGGAACATTTGGGGATCACCAAAACAAGGGACCCCTAATATAAACACCCCAATGCTAAGATCCTTTTCTTCTAAGTCTTTAAGGACCCCAATAAGGTACCCCTGATCTCGGAAACCACCATTTGAGTACGCAAACCACCCTGAAAGCTGCCAGGAGGCCGAAGAACTGCTTGCGGAGACGTCGGTTGCCAATCGCCGCCTGGCCCGGGCGCTCTTCCGCCTGGCTCCTTGACCCGGTTGCCTTTTGAATACCCTAAACCCTAAACCCGAAACCTTAAACCCTAAACCCTAAACCCTGAACCCTGAACCCTGAACCCTAACCAGAGCTTGTTTGGGGGCTTTGTGAAGTGGAGGTCCGCCGGTCGGATGTTCAAGGTTTTTTGCCGCCAGTTAGGAATTTCCAGACGGGGTTTCTGAAGACTCTTTTTTTGCTCGTAGGACACTGTAGGCCTTTCAGGACTTCAAGGCTGTAAAGTTTGTGCGGCTTTAGGTTTTGGACAGTGATGCTCGGAGTGACCATAAGACCTGACCACAAGGAGACGTACTACATTTACCTTATGGGGCACATCTCAGCTGCAAAGCGGCAACGGATGAAGCTCGGTAGCAACTTGCGCGTCCTTCAGCGCGATTTGAGAAGGAGGGTGTCAGCCGTAGTTGAGGAAGGTAGTAGGAGTAGGCTGAGGGGGCGTGTTGGTGTCGTGGTGGGCGTGGCCGACCCTCAGGCAGGAGCTCAACGTGGAGGAGGTGCGCGAAACATTCGAGCCCTCCTTGCAGCTCTATGAAGCCGGGATGCAGGCCCCCGATGTGTGCTGGAGCATCCATGCTTCAAGCTGTGAGGACTGGAAGTCGAGGCTGAAGAACTTAAACAAACGTATCGTAGATGTGTCTTCGGCTTCGAAAGGTTCAAGCAAGACATCAAGTAAAGTTAAGCGATGTTTGGATTTGCCCACGACAACGCGCAGCGTCTGACATCCGAAGGGCTGAGCAGTTTTTGTTGAAGCGTGGTGGAAAAGCCGCACTGCGCAGACTGCAAAATGTCTGGCGAGGCTTGAAGCGCTGTGAACCAATTTGTCAATTGTAGATAACTCGAGGCAGAAAGGTTAAGGACCAGGGCTTGCGATGTGATATTTTTCAAGATAGCTTGCACCAAAGTCCCAGGGACCAGGGCTGTGCAAATCATCGTTTTGGAAGATAGCTTGCGCTAAGACGCTATGTCCTACAAAGAGCCAATAGCTAAATGGCGAGCTCCCTCAACTTAGTGGATCGAGCCCATGAGCCCAGCAGTCCGTGGTTTAGGGTTTGGGGTTTGGGGTTTAGGGTTTGGCGCACCGTCCGGTGCTCCTTGAAGATTAGTCGGAGGCTGCAGCAGATCATCTCAGAACACCCTGAAGCCCTTCGGAAACCCGAATACAGTCCGCGTAGCCAGATAGCCACGCCGCCAGGAATTCCGATCTGGTTCGTACAGTAGTTCTTTAGTGTGTGGATACAGATTTTCATAGGACTAGGGCAGTGATTAGGAGCTTCTCTCCAGGCCTTTGACTTCTTGGCGTACAGCCTCATTCCCAACCTACAGGCTTGGGCTTGGGGTCCACAGGCGTTGTATTTGTGTCGATGTAGGGCGTAGGGCCATAGGGAGTGCCTGTTTTACATCACAGCAGGGCATGTGTGGGGGTTCTGGAGACTTCAATGTTGCTGTCCTAGCAGGCGTCATCGGCATTCCGGTGTCCAAACAGGGTTTTTTGCAAGCCCATGGTCCCTTCGGCCCTTGGGTTTCAAGTTTGCGGTGGTTGAGGTCTTCACCCGCCGCCGGGAAGCGCCCAGCGGACACGGCTACTTCCTCGCCCATGCCTCACAGCCGAGAAATGGAACAGCCCATGCCCAGGTGGCACTGCTCTTCGTGAGCTTGGGCGATTGGGCAAAGACCGGGTTTCTGACCTTGTGGAGTGTCCTCCAACATCGAACCACACCTCTGCGCGTGGTGGTGCTCGGGGATGCTCCTGGATTGCATGCATGGCAGCTTGCCGTCGACGAGCTCAAAGACCAGGGGCCCAAGTTTGAGGGTGTGACCTTCGAGTACATTAACTTCGATACCCACCCACAGTTCTCCATGTACTTGGAGAGATACCCAACTGAAAGTTGCAGCTTCGGTGCTGCTGGAAAAGCAATTCTTGCACGGGTTGTTTGCCACCTCCTTCTGCCCCCAGACATCAGCAAGATCATCTCCATAGATATCGGGGACATCATCGTGCTTGACGACATCGCAAACCTGTGGAAAGAGTTCGACAGCATGCAGGAGCATCATTTGCTGGCAGCTCCTCATGCAGTGGCACTGCACCATGTGAATGCCGGAGTCGTGCTCTACTACGTCGCACGGATGCGCGAGCAGGAGTTTGCCGAAGCGACTTTGCAAGCTGTGATGGACATGCAGCGCCGAGCCCCGGACCCAACTTGCCTCCGCGATCAGTCCATTATCAACGTGCTACACAGCTGGCGAGAGGAGTTTGGCTACGCCGGCCCCAGCCCGATCATGATCCTCCCTTGCCCCTGGTGGGAGTTTCCTAAACAAGCGCTCTAGGTATACCAAGTGGTTGCAAGCCAGTAAGTAGTAAAGTCAACGGACAGGTCCGTCTTCCCGACCACAGAGTGGCTCTCCTACTGGAATTTTGGACTTTGAATTTCAGTACTTGCAAGATTCTTCATTCCGCGAGCCCATGCAGCGAACTAATATTGGCCTATGAACCCCGAAGAGCCCAGCCGCATCCGAACAGGCAATCCTAAGTACCTTCAAAGTTTTTTTCAGCAGAAGAGTGTCGATATGAGCGGAATGCCCTACAAGTCTATAAGATCAGGAATAGTCCTGAGAGATGGCTCCACGAGCTGCGAGACAAGCGCCGTTATCCTGGGATGATCTCGATCAACCACGTCGAGGCTTCTTGTCTTTGATGCGTGGCAATGCTTGGGGTTTGGGGTTTAGGGTTTAGGGTGTAGAGTTGATGCTTCATGCCGCTTTCGAGCTTTTCAGGTTGTGGGATGTCATCGGAGTCTGACACACATGTGACTCATGTCACAAGCTGTTGTCATGGGATGCAGTACTGCCACGGCCACCGAAGCCGTTTCCCTGAAGTTTCGCACCTTTATCAGGTTCAGGTTGCCCGCTCCCTAATTTGTTGAAGATGGCGAAGAGGTTTTCTGCCCTGACGACATGGACCTCCTTTCAGCCTGGGCTTTCCTCCCTTTGCAGCCGACGGAGGACGCATCCAAGCAGAAGCGAATCCGTCCCTATGTCCTTGTTCCTGCAAGCTGTTTGTGATTCAGGCAAACTAGTGGCTCGCCTGAAGCCTTCATCCACAATCCGAGTGCGACCCAGGCCTTTACGTGCTCTACCACGGTTCGAAGCCGGAGAGGTACTGCTCCAACGACCGCTCTCCACACTGCTGCCAGTGTGGGGAACGTGCCTCTCTGCTACTTGCCCCATTAGGTACCAAGGCACTATCGAGGTTTAGGGTTTAGGGTTTAGGGTTTGGAGTTTAGGGTTTAGGGTGTAGGGTTTAGGGTTTAGGGTTTAGGGTTTAGGGGAGATGTCATCGAGTTGTGCAACATCACTCGACCTAAGGCTCCACATCGCAGGGGACATGAAGAACTGGCAGGCCATGCGTGCTCTTCTGCAGGCCTACATGCCGCCATGGAAGGAAGTTCCGGAGGATCCCTTTCTGAATGCCGCTTCGAAGCCTGGTTCTGTGTACTCCTACCTGCTTTCTTGCTTTCATCTTCCCTACCTCTGCTTCCCTCCAGAGCTTTCAGAAGTTTAACGAGGACTTCGGAAAAACTTTAGACTGCTGTCGCGGCTACGGCCCTGGAAGCCCCGAAACAAGGAAAGTGTGGTCCGGCGGCGAGACGCGCATCCAGCAGATTATTTCCGGTACAGGCCTCCTTGGAACTCTCATGTAGTGCTTTACAGAAAGCCTTGGATCTTTTGGTCGCTTTTGCTGTCCAAGATGTGTTGGGCTCCGGGATGTTTGAGCTTCAGGGGTGCTTACTGCCTCTGCGAGGCCAGCAAGCCATCCTGACTGCCAAAGCCATGGGGCTGGAAGCCGTTTTTGAGTCGTGCGCTACGCTGAGCCTCTGCCAGACCTATGTGCAAGCTTTGGAGAGTGATAGAGGGTTATCGAGCCATGCGCCGCAGGATTGCGACTTTGCTGTTCGATTCTGTATTTCTCAGTCGGGCTTAGAAGCCTCTTCCACACCCCTTGCAGTCTACTGTATCAATGTTCGTACTCATCCCAACCTTGGCTCAGGAATTCGGTAGGCTCGGACTACGGCTACCTGGAGTATGCACCGGCGCCATGGCTGTCTCTTAGGCATTCTTCGGCCTGGCTGTGCCTGAATCTGCGCATTCTGCGCCCCGGGCCACACAGTATACGCCACACACGAGCGAGAGCGAAACATAAGGAAAGGCTCAGGCCAAAGCCGCGGAACCTGGAGCGATGGTGCAGCACCAAGAAGACGGGAGTACGATGTGTAGCCCAAGCGGCGAACAGGAATGAGACGGCGCAACGCGAGTGCGAGCTAGAACGCTCACAAGGTTCCCAGATCTTCGATCGCGAGCCGCGCATGCCTTGCAGGGCCGATCTAAACCTTTTAACGCGCAGGCACGTCATAAAGCAAAACTCAGCACGGGCATAGAAGTGCCTGAAGCTGAATCTGTCGGGCAGCGCTTGCGTTTCCAATCCCAATCCAGCAACCCCCTCCGCAAAGCAAGCTTGCTTTGAGTACTCGATTCGGGTTTGGGGCCATGCCTCCGTATCAGGAAACGTAGATAAACGTGCCTATCTTCGTAATTCAAAAATTGAAGCTTCGGAGATGCTCTGGCCCCGCGTGAGACCAGACTCACCGCTTGTAGGTCTTAGAGCCGGCTTGGTAACGGCAACAGCAACAGCAGCAGCAGCAACAAAAACAAAGAAACACAATAAAGACCCCAACCCCAACCCCAACCCCAACCCCAACCCCAACCCCAACCCCAACCCCAACCCCAACCCCAACCCCAACCCCAACCCCAACCCCAACCCCAACCTCAACCTCAACCTCAACCTCAACCTCAACCTCAACCTCAACCTCAACCTCAACCTCAACCACAACCACAACCACAACCACAGCCACAACAACCCCAACGGTGACGTGAAGAAGAAGAAGAAGAAGAAGAAGAAGAGCAACAATAACAACAAGTTCAACACGAGCAAAAGCGAGCAACAACGACGGACAACTGTATTCCAGGTGCAGCTGCGCAAGCTCCAGCTCCCAGTACGTGTTGACGTGGAGACCACAGCGAAGAGCGACGCATTCGTGCCTGATCTTTTCGAGCTGGGTTTAGATGGGTTTAGAATGGTTCAATATATATATATATATGTATATATTACTTTATTGTTTATATATATATATAGCTTTAGCCGCTTGAGCCTTAGGAAGAGCACAATGATGCCCGTGGCATGCTTATTGCCCACCAGTCTTCAGGCTCGGTGTCGCGCCTCACAAGATACACACAAGCCTGTTGCTGGGAAGCGTGAACCCTGTGATGGTGGCAACATTTGTCAGGTTTTTTTTTTCTTTGGGGGGTGGGGGGGTGGGGGGGTGGGGGGCAGATGCGCACACTGATTCACTAGTCATGTCACTTTATGGTTAGGTCGATTGTTGGGTTGGCACTTGCGTTGTAATTTGTCTTGATTGGCATGAAACTAGCGGCAAGGTCCTAGATGTTGAACCCATTTGAGCCCACAGGCAATCCGCAGGACGATGTTGTGTCTTTTAGCAGAAGCGGTCATGAGCTGCCCCTGCAGGGCTTAAATTCTGCCCCCCCGCGTGCGTGCTTGACTTACGTTGCCTCTCTGGAGAGCTACGAAACGGAAAGCATCTGCATCTTTCCAGCCGCCTATAGGAACTGCAATTTGAAGGAGTCAGTTGATCCCGCAATTCCAGGTGCTCCTGGGGGTAGGCTCGCACTCTGGCGTCGAACTGGTCATCAATGAGGGCTTCTTGTCTGACAAGGATGGAGAGCTTGAGACTAAATTGTTCGAGTTCCGTTTCGTCGCCGTCCCTTTGTGTCCTGTTTGTGTTCTTTTGTGGGTTCTGGCTTCGGTTTTGTCTACACCCAGATGAGGCCCTGCCCCATTGCCGCTGACGCTTGCGGGTCTAGGTGTCGGGATGAACAGGCAGGGAAGAACATGCACGGCAAAGCTGGCAAAGATAGCAACAGTGCTCCGAAATGTATACTAGGGCTCGTGCCGAGCAACCGCTACCACCATCAACCCTACAGCTTTCCGAACTCTCAGAAACGGAAACACCCTGAGCCAAAGCGCATGCTGGCGTGAGAGATGTGAGACGAGCAGTTGTAAACTGGGTTTCGTGTGCCACAGTTCCGATATTGGACTTATATAAGCTGCTGATTGTTCCATGCAGGGTGCCAGGTGTTGGCAGCAAACAAGCAAACACAAGTGCAAATCTCATTGACATCAGAATGTTCCGTCTATGTGCTGGCCCGTTGTAATCACGTTGTCAACTTCCGCGTTCAAGATCTGCTTTGCTCTGTGTGTGCGCTCTGGAAGCTGGCGCCTTCCAACCACCCCGCAACCCAAAGCCCCAGAACCTGAAACCTATATACCCTAACCCCAGCCCAGACTCTCAACACCTTCAACTCCAAAGTGCTTGAATGAATGAGAAGCCAGCTGTGTGTGCTGGCAAGGTTTCCTCATTTCCTCAGCTTACGCCGTGCTTTGTGGGGAGCGCAGCTTTTCGCTGCGACCTTCTTCGTAGACCGAACATGTGCGGATGGTTCTGTTCGGGAAAGCCAAAGTCAGAAGCAAGGTAGCGGGTCCAACGGATGCTGTGTGCGCTGGGTCCGCAGCGCAGCTGCCTCCGAAGCTTGGCGTTCGGGGATGCAGAGGCTTCGGGCTTCTGGTTTGGACTTTGGCGGCTTTGCGGCTTGTCTTCTCTCTCTCTGGGTACAAGCTGCACCAGGCACCAAGAGCAGGCAACAAAGTTGTGTGTGTGTGTGTAAACGTACCTGCCGACCAGTTCCTGGGTGCTGAGTGCACAGCTGGACTGGTCAAACTTTTCCGCATCTCACCATCCAATGTGACCTCGAGTAAACAGGACTCGTCCTGTGAGCAAAAGTGTGTGTGTTTGTGTGTGTGTGTGTGTGTTTTTTGCTCAACGCCCTCGAAATCCTGAACAATCCCTAATCCTAGCCGGCATCTGCCGAACTCCTGCACACGCCACGGCATGTGCACCCCTCCAAAATGTTTTGCAGCACATTGTTCTTTGATTCACACGCAAGTTTCTGAAGCACTGCCCAACAGCTGGCTGCTCCTCACCTACGACACCTATTTCTAATTTCGAGTTGTGCTCTCTGCTGTTCAACATCTACTATTTGCTGAAGAACCCCAAAAGAATGAGAAAAAACAATAATCCCGATATTGCCCTTACTATTCTGTATTTTGGGGGTTCTTGAGCAATTAGTAGATGAGGTCTCCAGACTATATCTCCGATGTCAGGGCTCTTCCGGGGAGTCGCAACAGCCCGCGGGACCGATTCCCACATCCGTACGGGGGGTTGTTAACCCTAAACCCTAAACCCTAAACCTAAAGAATCCAGGTGGCATTTAATCCAAGCTGGGAAGGACCTGGTTTCACTTGGATTCACTTGGCATTCGCTTTTCTCAACTGGGACCTTCATGCCTCGTTATGCCTCCCCACGCAAAGCATTCTAAGCCAGAAATCCAGCCAAGGAACAAGGACCTGCCTGGACATATCGGTTTCTTGCTTCGAATACACTTTAGACAGAGGCTCTCTGTCACAGCAAGATGCGCCTTGCACCATAACCCCTAGACATCGTGGGGCCCTTTGATGTGGGCCTCTGCCTTTCCTATTGGTGCCCGGAAAGTGATGAGCTGGCAAGAACTGAGGCAAGACATCTATTGCACCCCTTTCCGTGCCCTGGCATGCAGCGTTGGGCAGCGTGAGCCATCCTCCAGAGAGCCAGAGCTCTGCCCCTGATCCGACCTGGCGGACCCCAGCTCATGACCCTCGAAGACTAGATGACTTTCAACCACCTTTTAAACCATAGATTTGGGGGGTTTACGAAAACAGGGGACCCACAATTTTTAGAGCACCAAATAGTAGGATCCCCTTCTGAAAAGGACCCCAATAAGGCACCCCGATGATCGTAGACCCCCAACTTCGCTGCAGGTGCCATTAGCCGGAGTGAGGGCAATGAATCCTGGTCCAGCTTCTCCCTGGCCATCGGGCTCGACGGTTGCTGGCTGATGCATTACGCTTTGCTGAGGGTTTAGGGTTGAGGGTTTAGGGTTTAGAGTGACGGTTCTGCATAATTTCGATGTTGGGAGTTGAGGTACACTGCGCTTGCCGCTACTTGGTACACATGACTCGACACAAGTAGATTTAGTATGGGATTGATGGAATGCAAAGGCAAGAGTGTCATATGGAGGGTCGCTGCAATAGCTCGAGAGAAAAATCTCTCGTTCAACGTCGACCTGAGGTGGCAGTCAACAGTAGCACTATTTCACTATTTCTCTTGTTTGCTTGATATGGGGGTTTACGAAATTAGGGTTACCATATTGCGATCCTTATTATAAGGGGGATCCTACTATTTGGGAGTCTGTATTCGGGGTCCCTTATTTTGGTACACCCCCATATCCTTGCCTCCTCTGGCTCTGTGGCTGAGGTTTGCTCAACGTAACCTTCGGTGCCGGAGACATGGAGTTTGGCATGTGACACGTCTGGAAATTGCTGAGAGTTCGTCAGAGTGGGGGAGTGTGGGAAGGGGGGTTGGGGAGAGGGATTGGCCCGGAGGGAAGGTGCCGGTACGATGCTGACAGAATGGGCTGTTGCACTGCGCCACAATACACAAGCGCCTCAAGTTCGAATCACCAGCCTACACAGTCAAGCTCTGAAACCGAATGCCTTAAGCCTTACAAAATTTGACTTGGCAATGTGAAGTAGCTGGGCCGGCACAGTCTCTTGCCAGAGGATGACGCGAAGGAGTCGAAGACATTTGCAAGCTGGGAAGCCTTGCTGTGCGAGCTGCGGACGTTTGTCACACGTGTCAGGTACATTCCTGCCCCGTTCATGACCATTCTTCTGGAGCACAACTTGACTGTCAGCATAGCTGGCTACCACACGGCAGCCAAATGGCTGGTGTGCACAGATCCGTCGTGACGCAGAGAGGCGATTCAGGGATGGTTTTTAGTAAAGTTGAGTCAGTGCTGGATTGGTTACAGTAGCTGGGGAAACGAAC